CTGTGTGATTTTAGGCTTGTTGCTTAATTTCACTACACCTCAGTTTCCTTCTCTGTAAAATGGGGATGATTTTTAGGCCGGTGGTGCATGCCTGTAATACTAGCACTTAGAAGGCTGAGGCAGGAGAATTAAGGCCAGCCTGAGCTACATAGCAAGATCCTCTCTTAAAAAAAAAAAAAATTGCCGGGTGCCAGTGGCTCACACCTGTAATCCTAGCTACTCAGGAGGCAGAGAGCAGGACTGATGCACAGACCAGACAAATAGTTCACAAAACCCTATCTCGAAAAACCTTTCACATGCACACAAGAAAAGAAAAACCTTTCACAAAAATAGGACTGGTGGAGTGGCTCAAGGTGAATGCCCTGAGTTCAAACCCCAGTACTGCAAATAAAAAGCAAAACAAAACAAGTTGGGCACCATTGGTTTACAACTGTAATCCTAATACTCATGAGGCAGAGATAAGAGGATTGTGGTTTGAAGCCAGCCTGGGGGATATAGTTCTCGAGACCCTATTTTGAAATACCCAACACACACACAAAAAGGTCTGGTGGAGTGGCTCAAGTGGTACAGAACCTCTGGGAACTGTGAGGCCCTGAGTTTGAACTCCAATACTACCAAAAAAAAAAAAAAAAAAAAAAAGGGCAGGAGATGTGGCTCAAGATGTACAGTGTCTGCCTAGGAAGCATGAAGCCCTGAGTTCAAACCTCAATACCATCATCAAAGAAACAAAAAATAAAAAGGTGTGGGAGTGTGTTTTTTTTTTTTCTGTGTGTGTGTATGTGGGGGGACTGGGGTTTGAACTCAGGGCTTTGTGCTTGCAAAGCAGGTGCTTTACCACTTGAGCCACACCACCAGCCCATTTTGTTCTGGGTATTTTGGAGATGGGGGTCTCATGAACTATTTGCTCAGGCTGGCTGTGAACTGCAATCCTCCCGATCCTGGGCCTCCCAAGAATAGTTAGGATTACAGGTGTGAGCCACCAGGGCCAAGTTTGGGTGATTCATTCTAATAGTCTCCATTTCCCAGGAGGGACCAAATGACCAAATCTATCCAAAGCACTTAGCTTACTGAGTGGCACAAACAGAGTGCTCAGTAAAGAGTAGTTCTTACTATTACTACTAGGTTAAAAAGAAAAAGACAAGATGCTTCAAAGAAGAAGGTGGTAAATAATGATTTGAGATATAGCAGGTGGGACAAGGAGGTCAAGGATGGAGAAAAGATCAAGTTTTTGGCAAAGTGCTAGCAGAGCTGGCAAAGGGGAGGGCAGAGGTGAGAGCAGCTAAGAAGTGAATGGGAAAGGAAGACAGAGGCAGTAGGTATAGAACAATCTAGCAGCTGAAAAATGAGAGCAGCTATTAGAAGAGAGGAGAAGGGAACTGATTTGGGATACAAAAGAGAGTTGAAGGGGAAGTTGCTGGAAGTTTGTGGTGCTAGGGGACAAAGGTGACACTGTCTCTTTAACCTTTCAAATATCTGAACTTGAGCTAGGTGCCTATGGGTCAAGTCTGTATTCTTAGCTACTCAGAAGTCAGAGACCAGAAGGATTGTGGTTGAAGCCCACCCAGGCAAATAGTTCAAGGGACTCTATCTCAAAAACACTCAGCACAAAAAAGGGCTGGTGGAGTGGCTCAAGCAGTAAGAGCACCTGTCTAGCAAATGTAAGACCCTGAGTTCAAACCCCAGTGTTGACAAAAAAAATATATTATCTCAACTTGAAACCACAAATCTCATCTTTGCTGTGCTCAGCCTGGGCATCCAGGGGAGTCTGTTCTACACTAAAGGATAACTGTATGTGGGCAAGTGATGATGACTTAACTTGGAGAGGAGGGAGGAAAAAGAGTTGATTAGACTTGGCCTGGTCAAGGCTCAGAAGCCTGAGCAGCAATTGGCTAGAAAGTTATAGGCTCAGGGTCTGGTAGGAGGTGGGAGGGACTCAGGGATGGAGACTCAGGTTTAAGAGCCATCAGAAACTTGCTGAAGCTAGGGGAATGGATAAAATGACCTAGGGATGTCAGAAGAACATGGTCCTAGAAATACTGGGGTTGGTGGAAGACAAGTCATAAAAGGAGAGGCAAGAAGGAATATGGGAAAGTTGGGTTGTAACAGACCCATGTCACCTGATGGAGTCAAAAGAGAACCAAAAGACATCCACTGAATGTCTCCATTAAGAAGGGACAGTAGGAGTTGGAACCCAAGTACCACCAAAGATAAAGGGGGAAGAAGGAGCATGGTGGTTCACACCTGTAATCTCAGCATTTAGAAGATGGAAGCAGGAGGATCAACAGCCCCAGCAGGTCAAACAGTCTCAAAAACAAAATGAAAACAAAGGTGGAGGCATTGCTTAAGTGGGGGAAGATACTAGATTTGGGCTGGTGGCATGAGAAAAAGAAGTTCAGGAAGGTTGGTGTTTAAATAAGGGGGAAACATATAAAGCAATAGTTAAACAGGCAGGGGTTTGGTCTTTATTTATTTGTTTGTTTATTTATTTATTTTGCAGTACTGGGGTTTGAACTCAAGGCCTACACCTGGAGCCATTCCACCAGCCCTTTTTTGTGATGGGTTTTTTCCAGATAGGGTCTTGCAAACTATTTGCCTGGGCTGGCTTTGAACCTCGATCCTCTTGATCTCTGCCTCCTGAGTAGCTAGGATTGCAGGTGTGAGTTATGCGTACCCGGCTTGGTCTTTGTTTAATAGTGAACAAGACAGACAGGTAAAACATAACTTCAGGTGGGCAGGAGCAAACAGAAAGAGAGCAATGGGAAAAGGAGGAAGCCTGGTCACTAGAGACCTTGTTATCCATACTATTTAAAAAATATTTAAATAATATTCGGATGGGGAAGTGGTTCGGTAATAGTGTGCTTGCCTAGCATGGATGAGGAGGTCCTGGGTTGTATCCCCAGCAACACACACACACACAAACACAGAGCAATTTTTAAAAATAACCAGAGATAAAAATTAAGAAAAATAAGAAAAATGAAACAAAATATTTAAATAACCAGAATATTATACACACAAATTCATAGCCTCTCCATGGGGACAGAGGGTGTGTTCCATGTGCAGGGAGTGTCCACTTGGCAGGGGTACTTTCCCCTGCAATGCCTCATCCCTTTACTCTCCAGACATTTGCTTAATCTTGCTACAAAAAGGGATCGTTACTCCTTTCCTCTGAGCTTCCTCTCGCCTCATCCTCGAACTCATAGTTAAGCAGTCCCACACCTGAGCTTCCTCATACCTTCCACGAGATTCTTTTGCTGGGTCTCAGGCTTCACAGTTTCCTTGAGGACAGTGCTGAATGGATCTTTAACCATATAAAGACAGGCTCGTCATTTCTGTATCCTTCACGGCCTCGCCTTGCGACTTAATTGTTTGCTTGCCTTTTCTCTTTTTCTGTCCCCTGTGCCCGATACTCTGCAAGTCAGAATTCTTAGTTTTGAAAGGGCTTCGAGATGAATGTAGTAGCTAGCTGATGGACTTCTAGTCGGGAAGCGCCACCCGACGGCCTTCGGGAGCAGCCGGCAGAGGGCGCGCTGGGACTGGGAGAGGCGACCGCAGCGGCCGCGGGCTTCGGATGGGACTAGGGCCATGGCGCGGACACTGGCGCTGGGGAAGCGCACGTGGTGTGCGACGGGGGGTGGGCCGACCTATGCGTGGGAGCACGTGTGCTGCTCCCGGGTGCTCTATCCTGGTTAAAAATACACGCTGGGCAGAGTCGCCAGGTCGGGAGGCGGCATTGGGGACGAGCGACTTCTGGAGGGTGACTGAGGCTCCCTGGACAAACGTCTCAGGCTTCCAAGTAACCTGAGACCACCCTTGCTTCAGGCCTCAGTCTTCTCATTTGCGTACTGGGACCATTCGATTATTCAATGAACATTGGGCGTTGTGCCCGATTCCAGGCATTAGGCACAACTACAAGGTTCTTATTGCTGAGTTTACAACTTAGTAACACAGTATGTTCCCCCACAGTATGTTTGTAGGGGAATTAAGCAAATGGTCAAGATCATTTAATATTTTCAAATATGCCATAAGAAAAACAAGAGGTGATATATAGAAGAGACACCGAGGGCATGTTTTAAACAGAGGAAACTGAAGGTAGACCAAAATTAGTCTAGGGTGGGAGATGTCAGAACTGTGGTGGCCCCTTGGAGGCTGGGGCTGCCTGGGGGAAACTCCAGGGAACTTCCTGAGGCGAGAAGAATGTACATTCATTAGGGTGTTGGCTACACAGATGGACATATTTATCAACTTAGCGAAGAAATGTGCTTTGTCCTAATACATACTTAGTCTCAAAAATAAACAAAAATGAGCCGTCCGGATTGTGAGCACAACTCTTGAGCTGGGAAAACCGTTCTACGGCTTTTTCCAGCAAGAGGATATAGCATCTCCGAGTTGGACCAGAACACCTGGCAGTGTTCCGGCGAGGTCGGCCCGAAGAATCGAGGCGAGAGGTGCCCCTCTTTGCTACAACTAAGGCTGTTGACTACCGCCCCCCTCCCGGGTCGTCCCGGGCAACCTTGGAACCGCACCTCAAGCCCCGCCTCTCCCGCAGATGCCAGGTGGCAGTTGGGGCGCGACAGGCCCGTTTGATTTCCCGCGGCCGGTGGAAAGGGGCGGAGGGGGGAGGGGAAAGAACCGTAGACCAATGGACTGGGTTGATCGTGTCATATGACCATAGAGGGGCGGGGCCCAGGTGTACTTACAGGACAGCGGGCGAGGGGCTCAGCCTCCGCGCGAAGTCCGGGAGGCGGGGTCGGCGTGCGAGGCTGGGGGCCCTGCGCAGTTAGGATTGGCCTGTGGTCGGGGGGCGGGGCCTGCGCGCGCCGCAGCGGCGGGCTGCGATTGGCCTTGGCTCGGGCCCGCTGCCGGCTTGCGGGCTAGGCTCGGGGCGCGAGGACCGAGCCGGGCGGCGGGTCCGCGAGTCGGGGGGAGGGGCTGGGGCGGTGGCGGTGGCGGCGGAGGAGGAGGAGGTGGTGGCGGCGGGGGCCGGTACTGGATCCGGCGGGATGAGCGAGGCGGAGGCGGCAGTGGTGGCGACAGCGGCCCCCGCGGCGACGGTGCCCGCGACGGCAGCAGGGGTGGTAGCGGTGGTGGTACCGGTGCCCGCGGGAGAGCCGCAGAAAGCAGGCGGCGGGGCTGGCGGCGGCGGGGGCGGAGCTGCCTCGGGCCCCGCTGCTGGGACCCCATCGGCGCCAGGCCCTCGCACCCCTGGCAACCCGGCGACGGCGGCCTCGGGGACCCCCGCGCCCCCGGCCCGGAGTCAGGCGGACAAGCCGGTGCTGGGTGAGGGGGGGTGGCGCGCGCCAGGGAGGCTCTTAGAGGGGTCGGCGGACTGGGGGAGGGGTAGCAGGGTCTGGAAAGCCGGTGTCGGGCCTTGTCCAGAGAACTAACTGGGCTGGTAGCTGTGGAACAAACTAAGTGGATTCTCCTGGTGGGAAATCCTGCCGTGCCTCCTTGAGCGGGAAGGCAGGGCTGGCAGGTCCAGCTAGGCCCGGGGAGGTAGGGGATAGAGAGTGAAGCCTCAGGGTCCGGCCACGCCCCCTTTCCGGGAGGCTTGATGTAGTTGACTCTGGTTAGTACTAGGTAAACCTCTGAGCCTGAGAAGCAAGTTTACTGGGGACCCTTAACACTGGGAGAGCTAGAAACGCTCTGAGGGTGGCACTTTGTGGACCAGGTGAGTACCTCATTGTAGGTGAAGGGCCTGGATTTGTAGGATGTGAAGAACATATCTTAGAAGTGGATTTTGAAAGCCTGAGCCCCTTGTGTGGGTGATTCCATATGGCGGAACTGGGATAGAATACCTTAAAGCTGCTAGTGAAACCTGGTTGGCTTGAAGCTAAGCTTAACAGAGAGAGGCAGGTTAGATTTTGGAGTGTCTCAAAACTCAGTCCAACTCCATCTCTTCCCCCCATCTTAATGTCCCCACTGCATCTGCCTGGCAGCAATCCAAGTCCTGGGCACTGTCAAATGGTTCAACGTCCGGAATGGTTACGGATTCATCAACAGGTATCCAAGGAACCCAGGGAGTGGGAGGAATGGGTGTCTTCTGAACTGGCCTGTGGGACCGGACATGTTCCCAACCTCATCTCTACCCCCTGCCAAGGCACATGGTTGCAATGCCCAGCTGACGCTGGTTGAAAGTCTTTAACCACAGCACAAATGTGTGCTAAGTGGCAAGATGAAGCTGCCTCCACATCTTCAAGGGCAACAGAGGATTAATGATCCAGGAACTTGGCAAACCTGGCTCTGACCTTCCCAGTTTGTCTGTCTCTTCTGGAATTGCCTCATTATTTTTAGTTTGCTGTGCCTTTGGAGCTCTCTGCACCCCTGGGCTCTGGGGCTGGAATCCTGATTTCCTGTTAAGGGCAATGTTCAAGCACCCTCGCAACTCATCTCCCTTAAAGAGCTTGTGGTTCATTTGTATCCTCATCTGATGGGATTGAGGCTGGCATCTGGAGAGGGACGAAGGAGACTGCTGCTTTCCTTCAGTTGGCAGCCCCACCTCTCCTAGCCTGGGGAGGGTGTGTAGTGGGGATTTTGAACAGAGCCATGTCTCCCCCAGTGGGACCTTCCCCAGCCTGGGCACCCTGCCTAGCCAAGCCCTCCTGGGAGGCCTGAGTTCCCTCTTAGCAGGCTGACCTTTGTACAAGTTCAAGTGCTTTAAAACTAGAACATTTGTTCTGGGGAAGGCGGGTTGCTGCAAGGAGTCCCTCTGTCCTGTCCTTAGGGTTCTAGGATAAACCAGGGTAACAGGCAAGGTAGTGATAGAGAATGCCTGAGAATTTTCTTCTCTTTTACCCTTGGTCCCTTTGTGTCTAGAGGGGGCTTGACCCTGGGTTTACCTCTAAGCTGAGGGTGAAGATAAGATTTTGTGGCAGTTTGGATTAAGTTCCTGACACTTTGTCCCCTTCTCAAAGTTGTTCTGCATGGACAGAACTGGCTCTTGAGCATAGAAGGAAGGAGATGTGGAATTTTCCAATTCCAGTGGGGGTTGGGGAAGGAAGGGCTTTTGGCCAGGGACAGTTACACCTAGCACCAGCAGGTTCTAAGGTGCCCCTGGGGTAGAAGGTGGAGCACTGGCAGGTGCTGTCATTCAAGGTGCCTTTGCCTTCTCCTTCTGCCCTTTTCTCATCAAGTCCAGGTTTTTCACCAAGGTCTTAAGTATACTTCTTTTTACACCAGCTTCTGGGGGGGCCCTATTAGCTCTTTCATTCCCTGGGCCCTGTGTACCTTCCAAGTAACTCCAAGTACACTGGTAAGAATGGGCTCACCAATCTTAGGTATGGGCAAGTAGAAAGGCCTCAGTGGAGCTGAGCGCCTTACCAAAGTCACTGTCTTAATGACCCATCCTGTTCTACAGGAATGACACCAAGGAGGATGTCTTTGTTCACCAGGTAAGAGCTAGGTTGACTTTCTGAGGGGAGGAATTGGCCTTCTCTTTGAAGGTCTTTGCCATAACTCTTAGCTGCACACTGTTTCTCTGGCTCTTAACTTTACAACGGCCTGCCCACGTGGAAGTAGCTGCACTCCCATCTGCCTCAGGTGCCTGTATCAACCACCATTAGCCCCACTTGCGTTGGGTTACTGAATGGCTGTCAGGACTGTACGTGTTGCCCTTTGGGCATGGCATGCTCACTACCTCCTGGGACCTGTTAACACCACAGGAAGGAATTGGGCAATTTTCCCAGGGAAGCAACTCAGGCCAGAGAGACTTGGGTGCAGTGGGTCTCAAAAGTGTGGTTCCTACAGCAGCAGCAGCAGAAGCAGCAGCAGCATCACCTGACATCTAAATTCTCAGGCCCTGTCCGAGCTACTGAATCAATCAGACTTGGGGCTGGGGCCAGGTATTCTTGTTTTAACAAGCTCCCAGGTGATTCTGGTGCTCGCTAGTTTGAGAACCACTGCTTTGGTGGAGAGAGCTCTCAGTGGGATTGAGGTAAGAAGCACAGCATGTTTTACCCACTTTGCAACTTAAGACCATCTCCGCTCTTTGTTCTGTTTTTGAGTTTATGTTCTTGCCTCCCTTTTTTAAGTCCCTGAGGGGTAAGGGGGGAAGGGTGAGCATCTTGGGGACAGTGGTCACTTCACAGTGGATCCCCAGGCCCTTAGTTTATGACTCCTCCACTTTATTTTTTTTCTTTTGCAGTGCTAGGGATCCAATCCAGGGCTTTGCAAGTGGGCAAGCACTCTACTTCCACCCCCTCCTCTTATTACTTTAATCACCTTGCTCTGCCTCCAGCCCAGGACCCTAACTAAAATGTTGAAAAGAATGGAATTTGTGGAGGGTGCAGCAGGGTTGAGAGAGACTTGGTCTTGCTGCTCTCACCCTTCTCATGGCCTTTTCCCCAACCAGACAGCTATTAAAAGAAACAATCCCAGGAAGTTTCTACGCAGTGTTGGAGATGGAGAGACTGTGGAGTTTGATGTCGTGGAAGGAGAGAAGGTTTGGGGGCTGCTGTGGGGTCCAGAGTTGGCCAGGCTTGTGGGAGGTCAGCTCAGGCTTTGACTCTCTGGGGACCAGCTCTGCCTCTGGTTGTAGGAATGGGCTGTCTTCTCACCTGGATGTTCTTAATGCTAGAGCTGTTCTCAGATAACATCCTAAATAATATGTCCCTGTCACCAATCAGAAATGTTTCTGGATTTCTTCCCTGTAGTTCACCAAGGACTTCTATGTCTGTTTTCCATATGGGGTCCTGCCCCTAGCAGGACTCTTCTCAGAATCAACCCTCTGGAGTGAAAGATGGACAGTGGCCCTCTCTCTTTATTCTACTCCCAGTCTTTAAGTCTGGGGTGGGGGGAAACTGTAGTAGTTATTTCAAAAGGGCAAGTTGCTTCTTCCCAGATGAGAACTCATTCCATTGCTTCTTAGGAGAGGAGAGGAAACAAGTAGCTGCTGTTAGAGGAGCCACAGAATAACTAGAGAGAGGTTTAGGGCTGAAAGAAGGGGGACTTGAGATTCCAGCAAGCTTGCAAAAGTTGTGCATTTTTCATGGGGTGAGTCCTGATTGTTGTTTCTTCACCTCCCAGGGTGCAGAAGCTGCTAATGTAACTGGGCCCGGGGGGGTGCCAGTGAAGGGCAGTCGCTATGCCCCCAATCGACGTAGGTTCCGCAGATTCATCCCCCGGCCTCGCCCAGCTGCCCCACCACCTATGGTGGCAGAGGCTCCCTCTGGTGGGACAGAACCCGGCAGTGAAGGGGAGCGGGCTGAGGACTCTGGGCAGCGGCCCAGAAGACGGCGCCCACCACCCTTCTTCTATCGAAGGCGGTTTGTGCGGGGCCCTCGACCCCCTAATCAGCAACAGCCCATAGAGGTGAGGGAAACTGCATTAGGGAGGCCAGATGTCCACATTCTGGAAAGAAGTTAGAGTTGATGAGAGTAGAGACAATAGGGTCTCCAAAGGAAGGGGAAATGAAGGCTGGAAAGAGCTGGGAACAATTTGGCCCCTGGACAGCTGGCAGTTCCATAGCCCACTGAAGCCTTTGTGCATTCCCAGGGCACCGATGGGGTAGAACCTAAAGAGACAGCCCCATTGGAAGGGGACCAACAGCAGGGAGATGAGCGGGTGCCCCCACCCAGATTCCGGCCCAGATACCGCAGGTAAGACTCCCTTTCTGTAGCTCATTCTTTCCCTTAATTATCCAGTGTTGGGTCCACATAGGAGAAGAGTTCTAAGAGCCTGGAGCTCATATGGATGGGGCAGCTGGGGGAGTCCTAAGGAGGGAAGCAGTTTGCCCTGGGTTCCCTGATCCCTTCGGGGTCCCTACTTCTCTCCCTAGGCCTTTCCGCCCTAGGCCACCACAGCAGCCTACCACAGAAGGTGGGGATGGTGAGACCAAGCCCAGCCAAGGCCCCACTGATGGTTCTCGGCCTGAACCCCAGCGCCCACGAAACCGCCCCTACTTCCAGCGGCGACGGCAGCAGCCTCCTGGCCCTCGGCAGCCCACAGCCCCGGAGGTGAGGATTTTGGGTGTCTAAAACAATGTGGGGTTGGGATGAAAGGAAAGATTTGGACCACCTGCCCTCTTTTCTGTCCTTTTTCCTTCTCTTCTTACTGTATTCCTTTGCATCTCTGCTCCCCTGGCCCTGCCCCTCTGTGTAGCCTTCTGGGTCCACCCTGGTGGGCATCACACCTACCAAGGAACCTCAGCAGAGGCAGTCAAGCCCATGTCACCTCCTGCAGGCCCCAACCCTGAGCTCTGTTTGGAACCACAATACCAGCTTGTGGATGTGAATTGTAGGAATGGGAAGGGGAAAGGGGAGAAGGTTGAAGTAGGGGATTCTGAAGAACAAGTCTTGGGCTGGGGGTGTGACTCAAGTGGTAGACCACTTGCCTAGCAGCCTAGAAAGCATGAAGCCCTGAGATCAAACCCCAGTACCACCACCAAAAAAAAAAAAAAAAGGGTCTCAATTGGCCACTGCTGTTCCCTCTAGACCTCAGCCCCCATCAACAGTGGGGACCCCCCCCACACCATACTGGAGTGATTCCAACTCAAAGGACACCCAGAGCTACCATCTGGTGAGCCACTGCTCCTCTTAGGGCGGGTGGCTGAGAAGGCCAGGGACTGGGTTGTGATGATAAGTTATCATCCTTTATGATTCATCCATTTCTTTTGCTCTCTTAGGTATCTGCCAGTTTTTCCAACTGACCCTACCCAACACTCCCCTGCACCCTTTCCCATAATTCATGACATCAAAACACCGGCTTTCCCCTTTATCCTTGAGACTCAGGAGGGCCAAAGCAACAGCACTTTTTTTTTTTTTTTTCCTCTTCCCTCTCCCCTATCACGGGTTGAAGGAAGGTCTCCATTCTTATTGTTCAGAGGCATCAACTCACTCTCCCCTAAGTGAGGCTGAGAAGGAACCAGCCAGCTCTTACCTCCTCCTGGTTGTTTTTCTTTCCCATCCCAATTTATTTTTTGTTTCCCCTTGACCCTCTACCTCTGAAGCCATTTTATGAACTGTCATGTGCCACCTGAGCCTCCAGTAAAAACAAAAACAGGCTTTCCTGGTGTCTTGGTCTCTGCCTCTTTTCTGTTTTAGAGAATCAGGGATCTCTGGTAACTAACTTCAGAACCAGAGGGGAAGGCCCCTCCTTGTGCAGTGTGCAGGGCCTGGCCTTGACTCCTTGCTCAAGTGTCCATAGCTGTGCAGCTTTGATGAGTGCCATCATTACTGAGATTCACTGTCCCCATCTGTCAAATAGGGATGTCACCTCCCCTGTAGTGCCCAGGTGCTTGTGGCTACAGTTTATTGAACATTTGCTATTAAAGCAATAAGTAGAAATGGAAGTGGGGTGGAAGGAAAAAAGGTCTAAAAGATTCTGAGGCCTCGTGCCCAGGCAGGACAGATAAGGAGGATGGGGAGCAGGCAAGGGAATAGTGGTCCCTGTGTCAGCCCACCCTCCAGTGCCTCCATGACAGAACACTTGTCTTCATATACTGACTTTATAGATGAATCTATATATACACATTTATAATACAGCAGCTCTTTGGTTTCTGCTCCCTATTCCTTCTTCAGGCATATACAAAAATAATGAAAGACTCCTCTCAGCCAGTGTTTACAGGCAGCCTTTCAAGTCCCCTGTTGCCCTTAGTTGGTCAAAAGCCTGTCATGATGATCCAGGATGGGAGCAAAGGAACAGAGGGGCCCCCACTTGGCAGCCTTGAGGAGTAAGTGGGATAGGGTTCCAAGGCTAGATGTGGGTACCTGCTGTTCCTTCTTGCCACATGTGGGTAGATAACTGTTGTGTTTGCTCTTGCCTTGGAAGGCTGAGCCTGCAGGGAGGGAGAAGAGACTAGACTTTGGGAGAGTGTGTCCTTTGCCCTGGAGAGGTCAAGACAGAACCCCCTTCACCCAGTCTATGTGCCAAGAATTCGGTAAAAATGCCAGATGGTGGAAGGAGTCAAAGGTGGTGGGAAACTTGACTTCTTAATCTCACGTCCTGTTTCTGTCTGTCCCACTGAGGAAGTCAGGCTAGTACCTCCCCTCCTGCAATCCCCCTTCTCTAAAGGGGATGAAAGTATTCTGGAGCTGAGTCTAGGTGCGGGCAGCAGGGAAGAGGGAGAAGAGTGGTCCATTCCAATGGCCACGGGCTAACCACAACACATAAATAATCCAAGAGAGTCACACGAGGGGAATGAGGGGGTGCTCAGACCACCCTTCCCTCTAGCTTCCCAATTCTACCAGACTGCAGGTTTTTTCTCCACCCTGGAAGTAATGGGGAAGAGAGGGTTAAAGTGCTGCAGAGGAAAGGAGGGGGCTCTGGGAGGTGGAGAAGCTTGTTCTCCCACTCAACCTTGTGCCTCAGTCATTCTCATCTGGCCCTAAGTACTCAAGTTCTGTGCTGGGTTTCACCTCCTGCTCTAAAAGAGAGGGTGTCCGGCGGAAGGCAGCTGAGATCTGGTCGAATGTCCGGCCTCGGGTTTCAGGCACTTTTAAGAAGGTGAAGATGAAGAAGCCAAGCAGGAGGACCGCAAATAGAAGGAAGACGTAGGGACCCATTGCCTCCTGGGACAGGTGGAGAAAAAGGTGTTGACAGAGGGGTGGGGAGGGAAGGGGTAGTCTCAGGCAAGACGAACTAAAGCTGAGGATACTACAGAAAGCAGGTGGTTCCTTCAAGGGGCAATGCAAATGACCAGAAATGAAAATTTGCACTGAGAAAAGGATTCTCAGAACCCTAACTTTGCTTTAGTTTTTCACCTTCAGCCTGAGTTACTACACTTGGAGTAGATTCCCAGCCATTTGTAGTATTAATATGAAGCTTATAATTTTATTCCTGGTCTAAAGTTATGCCACTGGTTTGTTTGAAAGACACTTCTGTTGCCATTCCAGCTAGTTCTGCCTTCTCCTTTGAATTTGATCAGCTCCACCACAGTGATGCAAGGACCAATAGTTGGGAGTTGGGGATCCTTGACTGGAAATCAATGGGCTAGCAATGGATTGCCCCCCTCTGGCCTCTCCCAGTGTGGGAGATTGGGGGAGGAGGGGAGGACCTACCGCAACATACTGGAAACCCATGCCAACGATGAAGTTGCACGTCCAGTTGCAGAAACCAGCCACAGCCATTGCTGCAGGCCGGGGTCCCTGGCTGAAGAGCTCGGCCACGATGAACCATGGGATGGGGCCGGGGCCAATCTCAAAGAATGCCACAAAGCCAAAAATGGCCACAATGGAGACATAGCTCATGGCTGGAACCCGCTCCTAAGGGAAGGTGGGAAATTTGGTTCAAGTCTTTTGGATCTTCCTTGCCCTTTGGCCCAGGAGAGAACTGAAATCTACAATTTACCCCTCCTAGCAGCTTGTGGAGGACCCTACTGCCCTGGACTAAAGTGGACTCGGGAGAATTATTTTTTTCTTTTTTCAGTACTGGGGATTGAACCCTGAGTCTGGCATATGCTAGGTAAGTGATCTACCACCCAAGCCACACCTCCAGCCCTATTTTTGGTTTTTCAAAGTAGCAGCAGAGTTTTATTGAGAGTGAAATCAGGAAAGTACATTTCCCCAAATAAGCAGGGGAAGCAGGCTCTAAATGAGTTGGCTTACGAGCAGCACTTGGAGCTCAAGAGCCTTGGTTTTGAGATAGTGTCTCACTAACTTTTGGCACAGGTTGGCCTCAAATTCAAGTAACTGGGATTATAGATGTGTGACAACATGCCCAGCTCCCTGGAGCATTTCTGAGCACTGATCACAGACATTTAAGTGGATGGTCACCCCAAATGGATTCAAAGAATAGAGAATGTTCTTGTCTCAGCTCCTATGATGGTTGATACCCCTTTGGCTCTGAAGCTGGGTCTTTAGGAATTACTGTTCCTAAGGCTTTACAGGGTTCTCTCTTCTGGCTGCCAGACTTGTGCTACCTTCCAGAATAGGCCCAGCGCAGCCTGGGTCCCTCAGGAGCATAGACCATACTCCCTGCTGACTCTGGAGCCAAGCATCATAGTCCTGGCACGCAGGCCAACCCCAGGATTGAAGGCATGAATGTTATGGTGTGGCCCTGGCTAGCCACAGAGCCTTTTGGGCTTGTTCCCATGTGTTGGGCTACTGGCCCTTCCAACTCCCCAGGTCTTACCAGCAGGAGCAGAGCCACAGTCATCAAGATGGCACAGCCACACATGCCTGCCAGGCCCAGGAGATGTAGTGTCCGACGCCCAGCCCTCTCCACCAAGAGCACCTGTAGGGAGAGACAGGGCTTGGCAGGGGGGTCTTCAAGACACAGGAAGAGAGAGGGCTTGGGTGGGGGAACCAAGAATAGGACCTCCAGAACACCCAGGGATGTGAAGCCAGTGGTGCAGGCCATCACTCAGGGAGGCAGTTACCGAGACCAAGGTGAAGACAGTGTTGACCACACCAGCTCCTATGGTGGCATAGGCTGGCTGGCCCACCCCTGCCGACTCGAAGATGCTGGTTGAATAATAGAAAACCTAGAGGTGAAGGAGAAGAAAAGGTGATGGCAGAGATGTCCTGTCCTCCACTCCAGCCACAAGAACATGGATAGACCCTGGGTATTAATGGAGAAGGAGGCTGCTCCATACGTACAGCATTGATGCCTGAGAGCTGCTGGCTCAGCTGAAGCACAACTGCAATGACCAGGGGCTGCCGGTGGGTGCGGCTGCCCAGGAGCTGGAGCAAAGACAATGGCCGCTCACGCTCCAGCTTCCGCTTCTCATCCTTCAGCTCAGCCAGTACATCAGACACATCAGCCCAGCCTGTCAAGCGCTTCAGACCTGGGGATGGAGAAGGTCAGGCCTGATGGGGCCTGAGAGGAAGCCAGGTGCTAGCAAGACAGGGTAGAGGCATGGGCCTGGGGTAGACAGGGTGTGAGCTCACTCTTTCGGGCAGGCCCCTCCAGGTTCCGGATGATGTAGAGGTAGCGGGGGCTTTCGGGGCAGAAGGGCAACAGGACCAGCTGCAGGAGGGCAGGGAGCACTGTGATGCCCAGGAGCAGTGGCCATAGGGTGGCAGTGCCCAGCATGGACTCCAAGCCCAGCACCTATGGGAGAAGGTTGGGAAGAAGGGCAGGTGACTCAGGGTTCCTATCTAACCCTGGAGGTCCATCCTACCCCCTGCCTGGACCCCCACAAGGTCAACCTTATTTACCTGGGCGATCAGAATGCCAATGACAATGGCCAGTTGGTTAAGTGTCCCCAGCGCACCCCGAAGGTGAGTGGGGGCGATCTCCCCCACGTACATGGGCACCAGTCCTGATGTTAGCCCTGGGCATAGGGGAAAGAGAGAGGGCTGAGGGCTGCATCCCACTCCTATTCAGGAGCCCAGGCATGGCAAAGGAGAGCAGGGTACAGCACAGGGCTGTGGTGCCAATGGATACCTGAGTAGGCGCCAATGAGGAACCGTCCAAGAATGAGTACCTCATAGGAGGCAGAGGCATTGGCCAGGCCCATGAGTGTGCCCCCTAGCACCGCCAGGACATTATTGGCCAGCATAGCCCTTTTCCTGGTAGGCAAAGAGTGGGGCTGTAAATGTTAGCGCGCCCATGCTTCCTTCCTACTCCCACCTCCCTTGCCCTCCAGTCCCATACCTTCCCAGCCACTGAGAGATGATGCCAACGAGGAAGGAGGAAATCATACCGCCCACAGAAAAGATGGCCACAGAGAGAGCCCAGAGAGTGGTGAGGGTGCCTGGCGGGATGGAGCCAGGTCCCTCAGGCCCCTGCCTCCCCAGCCATGTTGCATTGTAGCTCTGTTCAATCACCTGGAGGGAACAGCATGGGAGTGATTCCCTGCAGACCCTTCCCTTTCCACCACCCCTGAGGCACACCTATCCTACTAGCTGCAGGCCCCTCACCTTCTGTGGGGCATTGATGACCCCAATGTTGTAGCCAAACTGCAGGGAGCCGAGCACAGCTGAGAAGACGGCGAGGACCAGGGTCCCAGTCACTCGTTGCTGAGGGGGTTCCCCATCCTGGAAAGGCAGAAGCATAGAGAGACATGTCACATAGAATCATGCTTTCTTTCCTTCCTTCAGGGGCTCAGGCCCAGTTGGAGCCTAAGTATGCTGGGTGCCATCCAACATGCTGGTGGAGAGAAAGTGGGCCATATTAGGAATTGCAGAGATCTCAATGTAAACAAGAGCACACACAATCCAACAGCGACAGGAGCATGGATGAGAAACTGGATGTTTGAATCCACAGGCAGAGAAATATTTGAGGATCTAAGTCTTAAAATTCCCCTGTGACCTTGGGACAGGTTCAGATTTGTATGACCTTGGGCAAGTCACTGCTCTATTCTGAACTGAGCATAGGTTTCCTCTTCTGTGAGGTGATGTTGCCCCCCCGTGATATTTTCACCTGTGAGTGAAAGCGTGAAAATCAAAACCAGATGTTAACAGTAACTGCAACAGTACTGGTTTTATAAACGACAAGTTTATTGTTATCATCAGCCACTGTCCTCTTCCCTGCCTTCTGGTGGTTCTCTCAGCCAGTTCCAGAAGGCCAACAGGTCCAAGAAGGGCAATCCCAAAAAGGACATCCAAGTCATTCCATTGGGGTGGCCTTCTATATTTCTGCTTTTGCCTCCCTTCGGCTTCTAAGCTGCAACCAGGAGCAGGGGGCTGTGCCGGGATTTTGCCAGAGAGAACCATGCCCAGAGGAAGAGGGAGGGATGGTGGCCTGAGGGGCGGTGGCAGTGGTTGCTGCTCGCTGGCGGCACAGAGTGTCTCCAAACGGAAACCTGAGCTGGGGGAGGGGGGGGTGTGACACTCCCCTCTGCCCCTCCACCCACCGCAAGGCCGAGAGAAAGTTCAGCGTCCGGGAGGACAGCCAGGAGTGGGGGTGGGGCCCACAGAATGCCTCCGGTCCTCGAAACACTGTCCACGAGCCTGGACAGACGGACAGCTCCCGGAGGGCGAGACTCATCCGGATCTGACTTCCCAAGATGGACGGAGGGCAGGGTGTCCCCTAATCCAGCTCTATGAACCGCATTTGTAAGAAAGGAGACCAACTCCGGACTCTGTAGAATCCAGCTGCGGCCTGGACCCCGGAAAAGTACCCCGTACCCACTCTGTCTCTTGGCAGAATTGGAATCCAACAGTCACGGGTTGTCTAGGCAGGGTATAAATAGCCAGCCCCCCCACCTCCATCCCCTGCGCCTGCGCAGGAAACGCCCCCTAGCTGACCCTAACCACGACCCTAACCAAGAAAAGCCAGACCTGTGCCCCGTCCCGCCCTCGCAATGCTGAACCCTACTTCAGAGCCGATCTGTTGGAAGCCCGATGGCATCTTGTCTTAGAAGAGCTGGAGGTGCACGGAACTGGAATGATGCGAAAGGCAACAGAGCAATCTGTGGCCCTCGTCCGGCGGGCAGAGGACGCGGGGCCACAGAGGGCCCCAAGCGATGTGTGGAGGGTGGGCCTGGTGGGACCCACAGTCACAAGCCAAGGAGCCCAGGAGTTGCGGGACTCCCAGGGATCTGTCCGAGTCGGGCTACGGGAAAAATTACTAGGAGCTGGTTCCACCTAACTCTCGCCCCTTCATGGGCCACGCCCTTCACAACACCCATTGGCCAGGAGCCGCACACCCCAGGAGGCCACGCCCCCTCCTGGAGTATGGGGCCTTTTGGCTCCAGTTAGTAGGGCTGGAGGGTGAGGCCATGTCCTTGCTGGACCAGGCGAGAAACGCCCCTCAGGTTCCCGCCAGCTTCAGGCGGAGAAGTTTTCCAAGTAGGGTCCCAAGGAACAGAAGGCTTCGCCCAACCGCATGTGAGGACTCCACCCGCCAGCCACGATCTCCGGTTGCAGAAATTTCTTAAGTCCAGCGCCGTGGGTCGGGCTTGTGGGGTCGAAGAGGAGGGAATGGGCCAGGTGTGCTTGCTTTGGGAGAGGGGAACTCCAATGGCATGACACCGAGCGCGCGAGACGGCGCGCGGGGTGAGTGAGGAACAATGCCCCGAAGTAACCTGGAGTGGCTATTTTTAGCTTCCACATTAGGCGCGGCAAAATGTCAGGTCCCGGGTGTCCCGGCCTGTCCCGAGCGGGGGAGGGCTGGGAAATGGAGCCTTAAAGATTTCGCTACACGCTTCCCACGGGAGGGTTACCGGGGTGGTGGGGGGAGGGTGGGCGGGGCAGGAAATTCCGTTCCTACTGGGTCTGGTGGCCTGCACCATGGTCCTGTCTTTGTGTGCATCCCTAGTCAGGGCACTGCCTACCGGCCCTTCCTGTACACATATTCCCTACGTTGGTTCCTGAAGGTGGCCCAAGGGACAGGTGCATACGCCGACTATGCCATCAACCCTGAAGTCCCTGAGCCGCCACGCATATGCTGGCCGCGTGGACGACATGCTCTGCAAAGCCTGAGCCGGGTTTGGATCCCCAGCTAAACCCCAGCGGAGAGGGCACGACCTAGTGTCGGCGGGTCTCGAGAGGTAAACCCGACGCCCCGAGGGTAGAGTTCAGAAAAAGGGCCTCAGAATTGCGGGGCTGCAGTGCCACCTGGAGAGAGAGCGAAGAACCGCAGCGGATTGGACTACGGTAGCCTTTCGCTGGTGATTGCTTGCGGTTGCACCTCCCTAAGACTTCTGTGGCATTCAACCCGCGCCTCTCTGGAGCGCCAGATCCAGGTGTCCAGGTGCCTGGATGGGGCAGTTCACATGATCAGCATGATCAAACACTGTACTCCTCCTAACTTTCTCATCCCAGTGAGTTAGTCAGCCAGTCACCCCTATAGTGGAAGTCTTGGTTCATTCCTCTTGTCCCTCTGTCACTGCACCACACACAATCCCACTGGTGTTTTGACCTCCTCTCTCTCACTTACTCTTACTCATCTAATTTTTCGCACCTGCACTATTGCCATTTTAGTCTACACCACTGTGACTCTGACTGGTCTTACTGCCTGTCCTCTTTCCCTAAGAGGAGAGTAGAGTGCAATTTTTTGGGGGGAGGGGTGGTGGTGGTGGGATTGAGGTTTGAACTCAGTGCAGTTTTCAAATGTCTACCCTCATTGCTCTTGTCATCTGCTTTGTTGGAACCCTTCTGCCCTTCATCTGTGATCTCTGCCTTACTTGTCTCTCCTGCCTTACCTTCTACCTTCTTTCCCCTCATGGTCAGTGCCTAACTACTTCTCTCCCCACCCCTTTTTGGAGCTAGAGTCTCAATATGTAGCCCATGCTGGCCTAGAGCTTGCTATGTAGCCCAGAATGGCATCAAACTCAAGATCTTCCTGTCTTTGCCTCCTGAGTGCCTGGATTATAGACATGACTCACCACAGTTGTTGCAACTATTTCTTGAACTCAGCATACACTGTGTTCTTTCACTTTCTGTCTTTGTTACATGAATCCTTACAGTCCAGAATGCCAGAGAACCCCATTTATCCTTCAAAACAATGCTTCCCTTCTCTGATAAACCTTCTTGGGCTTTCTTCCAGAAAGCCATGTGTCCTCACATGTGGTCTATTATCATCTCTTCTCTCTGTAATTCAGCCTCAAGGGCAGAAGGTCTACATCAAGCTTAGAGCAAGGAGAATAAATGAGTGAATTAATGTTTTTTTGAGTGAATAACATGAAGGTCTGCTGCTTATGGCTGCAAACACAACTAGGGAACGACAATTATTTATGAGTAGAAAGGAAGAGAAGAGATTGATGGAAGGAGAGAGGTACTGATCAAGAAGGTAAAAGGAGCCAGGTGCCCATGGCTCATGCCTGTAATCCTAGCCACTTAGAAGGTAGAGATCAGGAGGATCATGGTTGGAAGCCAGCCTGGGCAAATAGTTTGAGAGACCCTATCTTGAAAATACACAATTAAAAAAAGGGCTGGCAGAGTGACTCAAATGGTAAAGTGCCTGCCTAACAAGTGTGAGGCCCTGAGTTCAAACCCCAGTACCACCAAAAAAAAAAAAAAAAGAAGAACCAGAAGAAAGAACCAGAGATGCTGGAATACCACAAAGGGCGAAGGGCAAAGAGAGGGAAAAAGAGGAGGGAAAGATTCCAAAAGGCAAAAAGAGAATAGGAGGGAGGCACAGGTTGGGGGCAGGTGAAAGAAGTGCAGTAGGTGGGGTGCAGGAATGGGGTCTGGAGCCCTGGCTTCCATCCTGCCACATGGGCAAGGTTCATTCCTGCTCATCTGGATGCTTCCTTCCTAATGCTTCTGGGGGACCATCTTAGGTGTTTCAATCTCAGAGAAAGCGGAGGCGGATAGAGCAAGTGAGGACCAGATATAGGGTAGTTGAAAGAGTGTGGAGAAAGTGATGGAGAAATACAAGGTGAGTCATAAGAGGATAAGGGGAGAGTTGGGAAGGAGAAAAATGGCAGGGAAGATGGGAGAAAGAGGATTGAAAGGAAGGAAGACATACAACACGCATTAGAGCTTGTGTGTGTGTGTGTGTTTGTGTGTTTATCTTGTATAGCAATCCTTGGTTGGTTTATCTCAGAACCCATTGTAGCTTTTTCTAAACTCTGTCCTATAATATTTTGGAGCCAATCCCTGTAGACTATTGTTTTCTAAGCTCCTGTATCTAGGTAAGGAGGTAAGAAACTGAACAGCAGAAAAAAGCTGGGATTTTCCCACACTCCCGCCTTCAGCTCTTACTATTCAGGTCTCTTTGCTTCCAATTTGTGGTGGAAACCTTGACACTTGACCTCCAGCAACACTATCTCCTCCCCTTGTTCCTTCTCTATATTTTGTTTGCCTTTATTTTTATTTTTTAATTTTTTGGCAGTACTGTGGCTTGAACTCAGGGCCTCATACTTCCTAGGCAGGCATTCTACCACTTGAGCTACTCCACCAGCCCCTTTTATTTTTATTTTTAAAATTATATATTTCTATACCCATTTCTCATTTTTCTTCTTTCAAACGGCAACCCAGGAGGCTGGATGAGTGGCTCAAGTGGGAGAGTACCTGCCTCAAAAGTGTGAAGTACTGAGTTCAAACCTCAGTACCAACAGAAAAAAAAAGTCAACCATGGGCTGGGGGGGTGGGTCAAGTAGTAAAGCACCTGCCTAGCAAGCTCAAGGTCTTGAGTTCAAACTCTAGTACCCCCCAAAAAAAAAAAATTAAAAAAGCAACCATTCCAATGTGTTTAATGTTCATTTAAAAAAATTGTGCTTTTACTGAGGCCAATAGGAAAAGGGGACCAGGAACTAGAGAAAAGGTTAGATCAAAAAGAATTAACCTAGAAGGTAACACCCACGCACAGGAAATCAATGTGAGTCAATGCCCTGTATAGCTATCCTTATCTCAACCAGCAAAAACCCTTGTTCCTTCCTATTATTGCTTATACTCTCTCTACAACAAAATTAGAAATAAGGGCAAAATAGTTTCTGCTGGGTATTGGGGCGGGGGAGAGGGGGGGGGGGAGTGGGTGGTAAGGGAGGGGGTGGGGGCAGGGGGGAGAAATGACCCAAGCCTTGTATGCACATATGAATAATAAGATAAAAAAAAATTGTGCTCTTGCAAAATATGAATAGTTTCAAATGCAAACATTTTAATTTATGTAAATAGCATTTTATTATATATTTTATTCTGATTTTTTAAAAATAAAAACGTTCTTATTAGTATGTGATAGTTATACAAGGGGGTCTGTTGTGACACTTCCATGTACACATATTTTGTACCCCAGTTTGGTACATCCCCTCCATTGTTCTCCCAATTCCCCCACTCCCCTTTGGTCTTACTTGTTTTGTGTGTTTGGAATTAACTTAGGGCCTTTTGCATGCTAAGCACAAGTTCTACCCATAACCATTATCTTAGTTATTTTCAGTAAACATTGAGGGTTTTTTTGGGCAGTGGTAGGATTTGAACTTAAGGCTTCATGCTTGCCAGGCACATGCTCTACTGCATGAGCCACGTCTCCCGCATTTGGGTTTTTAAAATCCACTTGTGCTCTATGACTAAAGTTATTACTGTATGAATGACTCCCATGGTGTCAATAACACTATATGTTACCCGCTAACACTCCCTTTAATGGACACCTATGCATGTCATCTCAGTTCCCAGTCACAACAGTAATAATGTGGCAATGAACAGTTTCACGCAAGATTCTTTCTGGACTCGTGCGAGAGTCCTTTGGACAGTTCATCTACATCTATGTCTGTGATTATGACTATGACTCTATATTTATAACTATCTGCAGAAGCAGAGTCGCTGAGTCATAGGGTGTTCTTATACCCAATTTGACTAAGAACTGCCAGCTTGCTCTTCAGAATGATCCCGGTCTCTGTTTTCATCAGTAGTGCAGGAGGGTTCTGCTACCACCATGTCCTCTCATTCAGCATTGCCCAGTGGCCAGGCCCAAATTGCCGTAGCTGAGCCCCAGCTCTGTTACTTACTAACTCTGTGCCCTTTGAAAGTTACCTAAGCTCTTTATGCTTTGTTTTCCTCATTTATAAATTGAAAATGGAGGTAATAGTAGTATTTACATCTGAGAGTTTTACTGAAGGTGAATAATATAATCATGTAATGTTTAGGATAGATTAATTGGCCAGGTGCCAGTGGCTCATGCCTATAATCCTAGCTACTCAGGAGGCAGAGATCAGGGGGATCAAGGTTTGAAGCCAGCCCAGGCAAATAGTTCTTGAGACCCTGTTTCGAAAAAGCCTGTCTCGAAAAAGCCCTTCACAAAAAATGGCCAGTGGAGTGGCTGAAGGTGTAGGCTCTGAGTTCAGGCCCAGTAACGCCAAAAATAAATAAATAAATAAATTAAATAAGTCTAATGTTTCTAGACCAATATGGCCATTAATTTCTGTACAATGTTAATTCAACACAGGTAAATTGGGATACTCTTTTCCCAAAGTTGACAGCACAGCCAAAAATTCAAATTATATATATATATATATATATAATTATATATATATATATATATATGTATTTTTTTTTAAGAAAAAGCAGGTGCAAGATACTTCACATTCACAGAGGTGTGATACATACTGTCCTACACCTATGTTACTAGAAGGTACAATTAAAAAGGCATTATTTGAGGAGACTTGATTCTACTTTTCCAGCAGAAGGCCTGGGCTGGTCTTGAACTGAAATTACAGGCATGTGTCACCACATGTGGCCCTCCAGCCCTTGGTGTTTTTGAGACAGGGTCTTGCTATGAAGTTCAGGCTGGCCTTGAATTTTCTATGTAGTCCAGGCTGGTCTTGGACTTTTGATCCTCCTTTAGCAAAACTTAAACAAACAAAACCCCAAACCGATTATTAGTTCCTTGTCAAATCTGGACATTGAAACAGAGAATAGGAGGCAGAGATTGGACAAAAAGTTTTGTGAGATGTTATCTCAAACAATGGCTGAAAAGGTGGGCCTGTCATCCCAGCTACAGTGCGGAGAAGCACAAATAGGAGGATCCATGCCAGCCTGGGTGTAAAGAGAGACTCTATCTCAAAAAATAATGAATGCAGGGCTGGAGATTCGGCTCCAGTGGTAGAATGCTGAGTTCTAAACCCAGTACCAGCAAAACAAACAAAACAAAATAAAACCACTACAACAAATACAAGTTTAACATTTCTTTATTAAGCCTAGGAATTTCTTTTCTAATTTTCTTAGGGCTGCATCTGAACCATTATTCTTCCTTTATCCTTCCAAATTCCTTGCTCCTTTGAAGCTCATAGCTTTGTGCGTATTCGCGTGCACCTGAGGCACTGCTGGGGACGGAATCTAGCGCCTTGCACATGCTAGGCAAGCACTCTCCACACTGACCCACATCCCTGGCAACAATGGCGATAGCTTGAAGTGCATTGCTTGCTAACTCTACTTGTTAGAATAGGCCTTCCATTCTAGTCTGTCACTCACATTCATGGATAACTATAGCACCTGGCTCCTTATCTTCCTTTTTACACCCTATCCTATCATCCTTGTTGACTTCAAAATCCCTCTTGGTAATCTAATCACAGCCTCTCAGCTCCCCAGGATCTCCAAGGATCTTTTCTTCCATCCATCCCGAGAAGCCCCTATCCTAGGCTTTGTCATCTCCCCACGATCACCTCCTAGTCTACCAGTTTTTCACTCTCCACCTTCTTACTTATACCCCTTCTTACTCAACTTATGTCCATGGTCTAACACATAATCACTCTCATTCATATACCCTAAAATCTCCTTCTTAGTATACCCCATTCCTGGTACATTCCAACTATCTATCCACTTGGGCACCCAACTGTTTACTTCAAGTGTACTAGAGAGAGAAAAAAATCCACAATGATGCTCAATATCACTAAACCAGTGGTTCTTACCTGGGATCAACTTTGCTCTATCCCTCTTCAGGACATTTGGCAATGTCTGGAGCCATTTTTAATTGTCAGACTGGGCAGGAACATTCTACTGACATTTAAATATACTAACACCAATAGATATCAGGGTTGTTGTTAAATATCCTATAATGTACAGGACAACAAAGATTATCTGGCCACAAGTGTCAGTAGTGCCAAGATTAAGAAATCCTGCTTTAAAAAAAAAAAAAAGAAATCATGTTTAAACTCATGACTAAATAGGGCACCGATGGCTCACGCTTGTAATCCTAGCTACTCAGGAGGTAGAGATTAGGTTTGAAGCCAGCCCAGGCAAATAGTTCTTGAGACTCTATCTTGAAAATACCCATCACAAAAAAGGGCTGGCAGAGTGGCTCAAGATGAAGACCCTGAGTTCAAGCCCCAGTACTGAAAAAAAAAAAGCCATTAATCAAAAAGTAAAATGTACATGAATAACAGAATTCATGAAGGGCTGCATTTTATACAAACACAGATTAAGTACTTGAACAAGAAGGACCCTGTAATAAGTTTATCGACTAAATGAAGGAAAGATTTATGGGGAAATGTTTGAGAAGGAAGAACACAGATGGGAAATGTGAAGGAGCTGAGGTTGAAACTAGAGGAAAATGGGATGAGAGAGAGAGAGCTAGAGTAAGAAGGGAAGAGGTGTGAGAAGATGGGGGATAGAGGTAAGCTGAGAAAATGGCAAGAAAAGAGGCTGGACAGAGCCTTGGGCACACAGGAAAATGAGATTCATGTGTTGCTGGGCTTTGAGATGCTAGAGAGAGGGGACAGTGATAGACTAAAAGGAAGGAAACGGGAAGCAAAATGGAAAAGGCAGGAGGGAGAGATGATCAAAGTGAGGAGTGAGAAGCTTGGAAGACATGTTTGCAAGAAGGATGGGGGAAAGGCTTGGGGAGAATAAGGAATGTGAGGTGAGGTAGGAGTGTGAAGGCAGAATTAAAAGGTACCTTGAATCTGGCACCGGTGGCTCCGCCTGTAATCCTATCTACTTGGGAGGCTGAGATCTCCAGGATGGAGTTTTGAGGGGAGGATAGTTCTCAAGACCCCATCTCCAAAATGAACCGGAGGTGTGTTTTAAGCGATAGAGTGCCTGCTTTGCAAGGGGGAAGCCTTGAGTTCAAACTCCAAAAGAAAAAAAAAAAAGGCTACCTTGGAAAGCCAGCTGTTAGGTAGGACAGGGTGATGAGGGGATGACAGAGTGAAGGGATAAGAGAGTATACAAATAGACTGGCCCAGGCTCAGATGAGGGAAAGAGAACAGTGTGGAGGGAAAGAGAACAGGAGGAGGTAGGGAAAGTGGAGGGTAGGCTTGAAAAGACTCCAAGGAAGGGAAATGCTGGGTGCAGTGGAGACTTTGACATAGGCCCTTCCCTATTCTCACCCTCTGCTGGCTGTTCCCAGTGGTTTCTTCTAGCATCAGTGCTGGCCTTGATGCTAGAGGGGATAGTGATAGCCTCAGGCATGAAGTCCTGTAGGGGTGGAATGGGGGACCAGGAAGCTGGGTTTGTTGGGATCCATGCCCAGAAACCAGCTGTTTGTTGGAGGGCCCTAGCAGGAGGGTCCTGGCAGTGAAGGAGAGGGACGCTGGGAGGTGTCTCTGGGAGCAGAAACTCCAAGAACGGTGATTCTCCCGATTGGGCCAGGGCCCGGGAAGGGGGAATAGGCCAGAGCAGGAGACAGAAGAAAAGGCAGAAGAGGGTGGAGGTGAACGTGGGACAGGACAAAGAGCACTTAGGGCAAGAGAAACCAGAGAAAGGGCGGTGCCGAGCCTTTTCAGTAGCGTCCCCCAATTTTGGCTCCGGAGCGTCCCAGATGCAGCAGAAGGGACGGGGCATCCTGGTGCCCGATAGCAGTCCAGTCTGGAGGGCTAATTTAGAATTAGGATTTCCGAGAAGCCACCGCCTCTTTCCCACCAGCGGTTAAAGCTCGGCAAGTGAAGGGGCGTGACCTTGGTGCTCAGGTTTCTTCCTCATCACCTGGGCAAGGAGGGGTGGGGGCTAGGACTTCCGGTTCAGGTGAGTGTCCCTTCAGTGACGTCAGGTCACCCTCTGCTGTCCCTTCGGTCCCGCCTCCCCTCCCGCGCTCCCGGTGCTCGCGGGGGCGCGCCCCCGCCCTCTACATATAACTCAGGTGCGCCGCACCTGTCCGCCCGCACCTGCCGGCTCACCGCCCAGCTTCCTCTCCAGCGCACCGTAGCTTCGGGCCGATAGGCCCGGGTATTCTCCGGGGACTGCGTCCAAACGGCCCCTCCACCTTTTTGGATAGGGTCGCAGAGAGAGTGGGCCCTGCTTTTGTCCGGAACCAGTCCTTCGAGGAAGGCTTTTCCCTCTGTCGTGAGACCGTCCCTCTACCGAGGGATCGTTTTGTGTTCACTTCGGGTGACAAGATTTGCAGTCACCCGGCCAAAAACCTTTTTGTTTTCTAGGGTGACTTAAAAGCCCACCCAGGTTGTCTTTTGTGGGGCTGTCCCCGATTTTGTTTATTTTGCTGTAGGGTCGCCCTCCCGGGGTTCCGTCTTTGCTGAAGGCGGAAATGGCCAATTCGGGGCTGCAGTTGCTAGGCTTTTCCATGGCATTGCTGGGCTGGGTGGGCCTGGTGGCGAGCACCGCCATCCCGCAGTGGCAGATGAGCTCGTACGCGGGCGACAACATCATCACGGCCCAGGCCATGTACAAGGGACTGTGGATGGAGTGCGTCACGCAGAGCACCGGTCTTATGAGCTGCAAAATGTACGACTCGGTGCTCGGCCTGTCGGGTAAGGCCGCGGGACCGACGGGGCGGACGCACACAGGGTGGAGGTGGCAGGGTGGGTTTGGGGCAAAGTCGAGGCCCCATGACGGGGCGCCCTTGGTTGCCAGCGAGCAGGAGGAAATGGACGCGGCCTCGCCGGGCCGTGGGGTGGGCTGGAGTTGTGTCGGATTCTGGTGGCCGCACGTGCACCTGCACCCGGCTACCTGAGCTCCTCTGCTGTCCTTTCTCAGGCCTCTCCCTTTTCCCTGGGCTTGAGTAAGTCTAGGCCCGGGCGTCCCCTCTCCCTCCGCCCTGGGAAATCAATGGTCTCTGTCTTCTCCCGCCTTTTTCTCTTGGACAAAGGGGGCGCAGAGCAGAGGCCGCGCCATGGGCCGCGGATTCGTGCTGTTTGTTAGACGTAGGTCGCCGCCTGCGGCCTCTAATCTTATCGACCGATTAGCCGAAGCCGCAAACTCCGTGGCCTTGATAAGAGGGCCAGAGCTGGATGCGCGTCGGCTTATGTGGCCAGAGCGAGGGCTCCGGCCGGCATCTCCAGCTCTCTTTTTGCCCCCTCCAACCCTTCCCCCTACCCGAAGGTTTCATCGAAACCCTGGTGCCCCGGGCGAGTTCTGGAGCAGAGGGCGGGGCGGGAGCAGGAAGGCCGCTGAGTAGGGACGGGGCGGAAACAACCAGTCCAGGGCCTGGCCTTGCCTGGGGCGGGGGGGGGGAAGGCGGGGGGGGGGGGGGGGGGGGGGGGGGGGGGGGGGGCCAGGACTACGCCTGAAAGATGAGGTTCAGGGGTTAGTGGGTGCGGTCCGCAGCGAAAAGGCTGGAGCCATCTGAGGTCTGCCTGCATTCCCAGCAATGACCGCTCCCTTTTTCTTCCTCAGCGGCCTTACAGGCCACTCGAGCCCTAATGGTGGTATCTTTGGTGTTGGGCTTCCTCGCCATGTTTGTTGCCGCAATGGGCATGAAGTGCACGCGCTGTGGGGGAGACGACAAAGTGAAGAAGGCCCGTATAGCCATGACTGGAGGCATCATTTTCATCGTGGCAGGTGATCCGTAGGTCCAAGGTGGCACCGAGGGTGGGCAAGGTGCTGGTTTGGGCACTCAGAGAATCAGAATCCTTTCTTTTGCCAGGTCTTGCGGCCTTGATAGCAAGCTCCTGGTATGGCCATCAGATTATCACAGACTTCTATAACCCCTTGACCCCCACAAATGTTAAGTAAGTCCAGGAGCCTTGTCTTCTGAGGAAACAAGTCTGGGGTCCTGGGATAGGGAAGACAGAGACAGGCCGGGGTTCTGACCCCCCTATCCCTTCTCTCCACAGGTACGAGTTTGGTTCTGCCATCTTTATTGGTTGGGCAGGGTCTGCTCTGGTCCTCCTGGGAGGTGCACTACTCTCTTGCTCCTGTCCTGGGAGCGAGAGCAAAGCCGCTGTGTACCGTGCACCCCACTCTTACCCCAAGTCCAACTCTGCCAAGGAGTATGTGTGAGCTGCGACTTCCAAGTCCCAGCATAACAGGCTATGGGTGTGCCCAGATGCTTGAAAAGACCTGGACAGAGAGCTCAGCCTGTGGGCAAGGTGTGGGATACAGGCCTCCTCCTGGTTACTCCATCCCTGCACACCATGTACAGTTTTTCTTGGGGGTTGGGTGGGGAAGACAAAAACAGAGGGTGTGCTTTTTGTACAATAATAAAAACTTAAGTTTTGGAAAGTAGGCTTTCTTTTCTTTCTGTGTCTCTTGCATTTTTCCTATTCATATCCTTGCAGGTGGCTTGGAATTGTGTGTCTACTTTAGTTCAGTGCACTTAAGAGAACACCAGTGGTGCCAGGCCATCCAGTCCATTTCATTTTTACTGTTATTCAGGCCCAATGTCTCTACACGCTAAAGACTCAGGTGCTTGGTTTCCCTCATCCATTTCCACCCCCATCACTCTTTAAATAGTTACCAGAGTTGATTTTTTAATAAAAGAAAATACTTTATTAGGAATGGGGGATTCTTATTCTCTTGCCTTATAGTATGCCCTCACTCTACTTTCTGCCCTGATCTGATGCTGCTTCCTGTCACATGGCAGGACCTGTATAGACAAAGTAGCAAAGGTTGGGCAGAGACAGGGTAAAGTCAAGGCAAAGAACAGAAGGATGCTTCTAAGCCTAGTCTTGCCCCTCCATCCTTCCATTAGTCAAATCTGGCCAGTCAAATATCTAAATCGTCATCTGGGTCTTCTTGGTCCAAGTCATCGTAAACATCTGGCTCATAGAAGATGTGGCTGGTAGTCTGGCCTGGCCCAGAACGCAGCAGAGCCTGCTGTCTGAGGAGGAAAGAATTGGTGCTGATGAAGGTGGGCGTGGGGTCAGGTTTGAATACCCTCTTCCAAATAAAAGTGGCTCTTTGACCTTTATGTTTAGTTACAGCTCAAATGCTACTTGGTTCTGGGAGAGCTCAAGGGCAAGGATTCTGTAGTCTTGCTTTACCCACCCACACACTGTGCACAGAGCAGCAGGCATCTAAGCCCTGTTAACCAGCCATTGCCACACCCATATAGCTTCTTGTTCTCCTAGCACTGCTGCCTGCAGAAATGACCACCTCCCCATGGTCTGGTCTGCCTTAGCCAAGGCCCAGATTATTCTGAGACCAATCACAGAGCTGGGACCCACAGGTCTAATGGCAAGACAGAAAGGCCTTTTGTTATTGTGAGAAGTATGGGTGGGTAAAGAACCACTCCCCAGCCAGGCGCCAGTTGCTCACGCCTGTAATCCTAGCTACTCAGGAGGCAGAGATCAGGAGGATTGAGGTTCAAAGCTAGCCTGGGCAAATAGTTCTTGAGACTCTATCTTGAAAATACCCATCACTAAAAGGGCTGGCAGAGTGACTCAAGGTGAAGGCCCTGAGTTCAAGTCCCAGTACCACACATATACACAGACAAAAAAAGAGCCACTCCCCAGACATGTCTCTGGAGGTGGACTTCAGCCCCTATAAAGTCATGAGAGGTTAATCAATAACCTGTCAACACCACAGCTCTCAGTGACCCAGATGCTGGGTTCTACTCAGGGATACAAGCCCCAACCTTACTTTTCAGAGCTGAACTGGAAAGGCAGAGTCAGGCTATCTCTGGCTTCTCTCTCTTTCTTGGACAGGTGAAGGTTAAAGGTCAAATGAGTTGTGGGGTCCACCTGCAGGTACAAATGATGCTGCCACTCAGCCCCATCCCTGGAATCCCTGACCTCCACCCCCAACCTCTGCAGTTTTTATTCTCTCTCCTTTTATTCCTTTCCCTTGTTGTGGCCCTGCCACTCTTGGATACCGGAGGTGTGTGAGAATCTGGGTGGGGCTGGGACTCTAGGGGAGGTCCCTCTTGGAGATCCAAGCTAAAGTCAGGAAGGATGGAGAACCACTGAGTCTGGGGAGAGGAGAAAAGAAAAGTTAAAAAGTTTTCTTCCATTTTACAAAACAGACCAGAGAGAATTCAGGACCTTATACTTCCTTCCCCTAATAACCATTTTGCTCTTTTAAATTTTTTTCCCATTTTCTGGAAGATAGTATCTTTTTTTTTTTTTTTTGTGGAACTGAGGTTTGAACTCAGGGCTTCACACTTGCAAAGCAGTCACTCTACTGCTTGAGCCACACCTCCAGTCCAACAGTATCTTTCATTGGTTAAATTCACAGGCTCTGAGTCAAGCAATCTTGAATTCAAATCATGACAATGCCACTTGCCACTTACCGATTACTACCTTGGGCAAGTGACTTAAATTTAAACTTCCTGGACTTGTTTACCAGTCTGTAAAATGAAGATAAAATGTGCTCACAGGGTAAATGTAAACATTAAATGAAGTAAATAACAGAAAACACAAAGAAAGGGGCTAGGGATATAGCTCAGTAGTAATTGTATGCTCAACATGCACAAAGCCCTGGGTTCAATCCCCAGCACTACAAAAACACAGGGAAGTATTAAATCACATCAGCTTTTTCATGTTCTGTTGTCATGCCACCTCTTTCTCTGACCCCAATTCTCCAGTCTTTTCCCTGTTGCTTCTACTGACCTGAAAAGTTGGACGCTGTTGGGGTCTTCGGTAGAGGATGTGCACTGAAGCCTGGCCCATTTTACCACTCAGGGTTACCTCTGTCTGAGCAAGGCTGCTCAGTGCTCCCATGGGGCCTGGGCCATGAAGCTCTTCATGTAGCAGGCCCAGCACACGTACCCGCTGTACTGATGAGCTGTCACCTGGAGAGAGACAAAAAATGTAGGGCATGAAAGAGAGTAGGGAGCATTCAGGGTAGAGGCCTGGGAGTAAAGAATTAAGAGAAGAAAAGGAGCAGCTCAAATCAAATCACAACTTTGCCATAGCTTGGCCAATCTCACTGTCTTTTTTTTTTGAGTCTCTTCCAGTTCATAGTAATACACCTTCCTACTCCAATGCAAATCTGAACAAGATACTACTCTGATTTCAGTCCTTCAGCATGGAACAAACACTGTCAGTACCAGTGTCCACTAACTTTCCAGCCTCTTCTCTTATTGGACTCCTTGCATGTTTTGTAACTTGCCAAGATTTCAGTCTGTTTCTCCCTTCTCTTTTGGGAGCATTAACAGTGTCAAGGACTGCACTAAACAGTAATACATTTTAATCCTTCAGAAGTCAGCATTTTTAGGTCAAACCACAGGTCAATTTCAAGTTGTTCAACCTAAATGTTACCAAATGTCTCACAACACTTTTTTTTTTTTTTGAGACAGAATCTTGCTGTGTAGATCAAACTGGCATCAAAATTTTTTTTGGTGGGACTGGGGTTTCAACTCAGGGCTTTGTGCTTGCAAAACAGGTACTCTACCACTGAAGCCACACCTCCGGTTCATTTGCTCTGGTTATTTTGGAGATGTAGTCTTGTGATCTATTTGCCCAGGCTGGCCTTGAACCTCCATCCACCTGATCTTAGCCTCCCAACTAGCTAGGATTACAAATGTGAGCCACTGGAGCCTGGCAAACTCATTTTCTTTTTGGTGGTACTGGAGTTTGCACTTAGGGCCTTAGCTTGCTATAGGCAGGCACTCTACCCCTTGCACCACACCACCAGTCCTCTTGCCTCTGCATCCCAAGTGCTAGGAATATGGGCATGTACCACCATCCTGGCTTCTTTTTCGTTTTTTTACAGGGAAAACTGAAGCACTTCAATATGAATCTGGGTGTATCTGACTCCAAAACCTATTGTAGTATTCACAGTGTTATAAATTGTAGTCCCTGTATCAACACAGCTCTTGTTAGACCTTATTAGTTTGTAAATGCCTATTTACTTCTCTGTATCCTTTATAAGACTCTGAGCTCCTGGAAAGGAACCAACTATAAGGCTAGCCTTTATTATTTCATTATTTAGAATTATAACTCAGATATCATATATATTTAATATTTGTTAATTGAATGAGTGAAATGGAGTTAAAAAAAAACTTGAAAATAAAACAATTGGTAGATAACACTGAAGAAAAATAAAAATGTGGGTGTGATGATCCATGCCTATAATTCCAGCACACAGGAGAGGCAGGAGAACAGTGAATTTGAGGCCACCCTAGGCTACACAGTGAGACCCTGTCTAAAAATAACAATCAAAAAACCAAAAAAAAAAAAAAAAAAAAAAAAGAAACTCAAACAACCCCTCCCCTACCAATTCTCTCAAAAATGTTAAGAAGGCCTAATTGGAGATCTCTGATGCTTCTTTTTTAGGGTAGGATGGAAAGGAAAAGGGAGACATTCTTTGGCAAGATACATGAGAAGAAGCAACCAAAGGAAGGTCTCTCACCAAGGCAGGAGTCTGGATGGCTCAGAGCATGTAGGGTCTGGCAGAGTGTGGTGCAGGGAAGATGAAGCAACAGCCAGCTCAGTGAATCAAAAGCAATGGTGATAGGACTAGTATCTGTTCTCTTGCACATGGCTCTCAAGGCTCCCAGAGGTCTGTCAGGAAGGGCCTCCCCAGTTTTTGACCAATTGAGAGGATCTCTAAAGAGGTCATGGTAAACCAGCCTGTAAAGGAAAAATAGGCAACATAATATTACCTTTTCCCTCCAATCCCAAACTTCTTTCTCCCATCTTTGTGGCTCTGTTTTCTCAATTTTTACTAATACCTTAATTTTTTTGGCAGGGAGGGGATGGTAATGGGGTTTGAACTTAGGGCTTCATGCTTGCTAGATAGGTGATCTACTACTTGAGCCACTTCACCAGTCCTTTTTGTGTTGGGTATTTTGCAGATAGGAGCTCACAAACTATTTACTCAGGGCTGGCTTTGAACTGTGATCCTCCTGATCTCTGCCTCCTGAATAGCTAGGATACAGGCATGAGCTACTGGCACCTGGCCAATACCCTAAATATTAATGAAAGCTAATTACTGAGAAAATACAGTGATTGGGAACACAGACTCTGGTGTCTGACAGCCTAAGCTCCAAGCTTGGCTTTGCTATTTGCCCAACATCGCCTAACTGGGAATTCTATCCATTAAGGTCCTTTGACATTTGTTCTAAACTCTCCATCTGAACTGCTACTACCTTAAGCAAGTCCTTTGTCACCTCCTAACATTGTTTTCTAAGATTCATTAAACAGGGAATAGGCTTGTCTCATCTACTGCTCTGCTTCCAGAGCCTAGCACAGCACCTGGTTTATGATTGGTGCTCAGAATATGCACACCTAATAAGTGAACCTGGACTACTGCAATAGTCTTCCTACCTGGTCTCCCTGTCTACAGGCTGCCTCCTTTCAATCTAGTCTCCACATGATAATTGCTGGACTACTGTTTCTAACAGGTGTGCTCTTACCAACTTTCCTCCTAACTCCCTTTGGGATCACATCTGAACTTCTTTTCATGATTTGTAAGAGCTTTTACAATCAGGTACCTCTCCATCTGCCTGACCTCAGGTATTTCAGGAAACTTTTCCACCTGCTATGAATAGACATGCATCTACCTCCCTAATTCTACATGCTGTTCCCTCTGCCCTAGGACAAATCTCTCAGTAGCTTGCATTTAGTGATTCAAGTCTGGAATACAAGACTGAATTAAGCACCACTAGATTCTGAATAATTCAAGAGGCAGAGCTTGTTTATTCTTATCCTCCAATAGGGTCTATTGACCCTAAAATGAACTACCTGCCTTTTATTTTTATTACTCTCTCAACTTCTAGGGTTTCTGATTTGGACTGCCCAAATAATCATCATTTCTCTTACTAATTCTTGCCTCCTTAAAGGTCTACATACACTCCTTCAGTGAATATTTAAGTAGCTGCTACTGAAACAGGAATCATAAGGGGACAAAAGGTCAGCACAGGCCACCAGGCCAGAATTTTTACAGACTAGGAGCTCCTTATGACTAAGACCAAGCTAAAACTAGTAGGGTTCAAGATGGCCACAAAATGACAAACAAAATAATTGTTACTGAAGAAAGATCTCATCCCATAAAATGCCCCCAGTAAGCCCTCAGAATCCACTCAGATGTCAGAGGAAAATCACAGCATTTGCTCATAGTTGACTTGAAAATCACTGATTTTGGAGGTCATGCAACTGAGCAGTACATTATCAGCTTTTCACTAGTTTGCAGGAGGTAACATCATGGACTTGAGGGTTAGAATGATAGTTGCCTAGGTTACTATATGGAAACTTGACTACTTTTGCTAAAGACACTAACTTTTTACTTGAGGCTATAGATATCTGATGAATGACTAAAATAGGACAAAAACATTGGCATTTTTGTTTTCATGCAGTGTCTGTCCCCTTTGCTGCCTCAATCTTGGTGAATCAGATTCTACTCAGCTCTGCATGTGGACATGTTGAGCATTTAAAAATTGTTTTGTTCAAGACTGTAACAGGGGGTGAGCTTGGCCTATTTATTGCCCCCTTGGAGTTGGCATGTGTTTCTTCTACCCCGCCCTTGTGCTTTCTCAGCAACTCAAGCACCTACAGTCCTAGAGTGGTATAATAAAGTCCAAACCAAGTACAAAGCCAGAACATTTATGCAAGATGATGGCATCAACAATAGTAGAAACTCAGCAGTTCCTGGGTTAAGTTGACCACCCGTTAGTCTGCAAACCTCAAGGTCAGAATGCTTTTGCACAAGAAAGGAAGCATCTTTTTAGCTCGTCTCAGAATATCAATAAAAACCTCCTGCCTGTGCTGGTAGCTTACGCCTGAAATCCTAGCTACTCAGGAGTCAGAGATCAGGAAGATCGAGGCTCTAAGCCAAACTGGGCAAATAATTTGTGAGACCCTATCTCGGGAAAAAACAAAACAAAACAAAAAAAAAACAAACAAACCTCACACACTCACAAAAAAAGGGCTTGTGGAGTGGCTCAAAGAGTAGGTCCTGAGTTCAAACCCCAGTACCAGGGGAAAAAAAGCAAAAACAAAAAACCGGCTGTTTTTGTTCAGTCAGCAGCAGCCGGATCCCCCTCTTCATCACCGCTGTATCTCTTCACCTCCGGTTGAACAGAAAAGCCTTGCTTGTCTTCTTCATTCATTTCTACAGTTTACATATCATTATATCTCGCCGTCCAGTACCACTACTATATACCAAGTTCCGTGCTTGTTGCTGTAAAGAAAGTCCCTAACAGAGGCTCCACATCCCTTCCAAGTTGTACTTACTGGCTGTTGATATCGGACCCCAAACCTTCTCGAAACTCTTCCTCACTCACTTCACAGCCCAGGACATGGACCTGCTCTCCACTAAGGCAGAGATGAACAGGAAGTGTCAAGAGTGGAACACAGGCTCCTTTCCCAGAGCAGGACAGGGAGGTGCTGCGGCATAACTCACCACAGAGCAGATTTCTTGATAAGCGCTTTCAAGAGACTGCGCCCCTCCCACTCCACGGAATCTGGGGAGAGCGAGGGATGGATAAACAGTGAGATCTGAGGCTTCCAACTTCGCGAGCCCATTGCGACTTCTACCCCTAGCCCGTGACCCATGGCCCTTCTGCCCCCTGAGCCAAGCCCTTATCTGTCCCTGTGCCTCTATCCCTCACCGCGAAGCAATACCAGGCCGCCCAAGGCCAGCAACGATTCCAGCATCTCAGAAACTGCCGGCGCCTCTTTGGACGCCCTCTGATGGCGTCACGGGCCCCGCCCCCTCACCTGGAGAGGGGCGGGGCACTCATGACTACTCCCACCATTAAGAACTGGTAAAGTCTGGAATGAGAGGTATTCCCAGGGGACTTATGCGGAAAGGGGGGGGTCCCCTCCGAGCCTTGGCGCACATTTGCATAGAAACGATATCCCTAGTCTGCATTTTCACGGTGACTGGGAGTAGAGCCGTTGGGACAGTTGTCAGTGGGAGGGATTGGGGGTCGTACGAGCCCCCACCTCCAGACTGCCCGAACCTGGGGCACGTGACGTCACCCCGCCCCGCCCGAGCCGTTCCGGGCATCGCCCCAAGGCCCGCCCAGAGGTCCTTGCGCGCGTGCGCAGTACTGCAGCCTTGGTCTGAGGACTCGGGTTTCCTTATCCCTACCCCCATAAAACCCAGTAGAGAGAACATTAGTCTGGGTGAAGCGAATGCACGTCACCACCGGAAGTAGTGTCAGAGGGGAAGAGGAGGGGGGAAAGACTGGAGGAGGGAGCCCTCTGGGTGGTAAAATGGCGCCTGTCAGAGTGGGAAATCCAGCTGCAGAGGCTGCAGCCCGGCTCCTCAAAGGCTAAGAGACCCGGATCTCGGGGAGGGGGAGGCCACTCCTGCCCAGCGCTCCGGGCGCGCCCATCGGCTCCCCCTCCCCCTCCTTCGCTCCGCCGGCCAGTCCTCTGCAGCCGCGGCCTTTCGCGCGCCGCTGCTCCCACCCGCCCCTTTCCCGCGGGCAGCCCCCTAGCGCGCCTGCGCAGCGGGCCACCCTCCGCTTCCCCCTTCCCCTCCCCTCCCCCTCCCGTCTCCCTCTTCCCTCCCCCTCCCCCACTACCCCCTCCCCCAATTTTCTATCCCCTTCCCTCTTGGTCTCGGAGGACCCCGTCCTAGCCCGACCTGTCTCGGCCTGAAACCTCCGCGGAGCCGTCCGTGCCACTCCCTGCCCATGTGGGCCCCTGCGGGCTGCCTACGCCTGTCCCCCAGCTCCCCGTTCCGCTGGGCTTTCCCCTCGACAGGGGTGGCTTTCTGAGCTGCCCGCTTCGTGCCCATCTCTGCAGCTTCTCCTGCCACTCGGGGCCCCCGTTCCCCCTCCCGGCGGCGGGGGGCTGCCCCCGGGGGGCTGGCGGAGCTGGGCCGCGGGGGCCCCGGGGCCGGCGGTGCCGGGGTCATCGGGATGATGCGGACGCAGTGTCTGCTGGGGCTGCGCACATTCGTGGCCTTCGCCGCCAAGCTCTGGAGTTTTTTCATTTACCTTTTGCGGAGGCAGATCCGCACGGTGAGTTTGGGTGGGTGCTGGCGGTGGTGGGGACCTCTGTCCGCGGTGCTCAAAAAAAAGTGTTGGGCCTCTTGGTGTAGGAAGGGAGTCTTGGCGGGGGGCTTTTCCCGCTAGAAAATTAGGGCATCTTTAGCAGAGCGTGGGGTGGGGAGGAGACCCTTACAATGGAACCGCGATCTTTTTCTTTTCTTTCTTTCTCTCTTTCCTTCCCTCCCTTCTTTACTTTCTTTTTCTTCCTTTTTTTTGGGGGGGGGAGGGCCTCAATGGTACGGGATTTGGCAACTCTTGGGGGCTAGAGTGGTGGGTGGGACTCTATTTAAGAAAGCGGGAGTTAGTAAAGAAACCTAGAGGCAGGGAACACCTGTTTGCTGGCAGCCAGAATTGTTGGTGTGGACTCGTGAAAGATCCTCTCTTATTGGAACCTCTGGGTATGTTTGCTTTTGGAGAGACAGGCCTGTGTGTCAAGCTGGGGATGGGTAGTAGGGCATAGGTAACAAACAAGAATGGAAACTTGGGGAAAGCCCTGGGTGTGAAGGAGAAGCCTCTGGTTCTCCTCAAGGGAACTCCTCCAGAAAGGCCCTGGAAACTTATTTCATAGTGTGAGTTGTGGGTATAAGGATTTATTGAAGCCCTGGGACTGGAAAAGATATTTTAATGATGGGCATCTTTCGTTGTGGGAGGGAGCATATTTAAGTTGGGCGTCCACGTTAGAAGACCGGGTGGTCAGTTGTAGAGCTTGCATCTGAAGGCTCACTTGTTTCTCCAGGAGACCATAGCATTATGAAGGAATACCGTGGCCCGTGGAGACTGTTTGGATGTACCCCAGTGTCTCTGAGTTCCCTCCCCCTGAGCTTTTCTCGAAGGTCAACGCTCCTTCAGCTAACATCATTTAATGAATGTGCCCTAGTGTTCTCATCACTGAGGCAAATCCTCAGAAGTCAAATTCTGAGGAAAATTGAGTGAGCTGATTACAGAAGGCTGTACTCTTTAGCATACCTCAGTGAAACATGAAAGAAGAAAACCAGGTAGGGGCCACCTAGGTCAAGAGAATTCCCAGAAAGCCCTGGGTTGTAGTGATGGTTGACTTAATTGATTTGGGAGAATGGCCTGGCCTTGGACTCATTCTCTCCTTTACCCATCTATTCCTTCCACTTCCTGATTTAGGGCAAGGACTGTTCTGGGTGATGGTGGTAGTTGTAGGCAGAGTTAGTCCCCTAAGAGAGCTAGAAGCCAAGAAAATTTTGGGGCTAGTTCGGGTCTAGCTCTAGGGTTTTCTTTATGTATATTGATTGCTGTCAGTTCTTTCTGTCTGACCTTGTTCTGAGAATCCCTTCTCTCCCTACCATAAGTTTTCTGGGTGTTGGGAGTAGTGGTCCAGTCCATCTATTGGAAGATTAATTACTTCCAAAATTGCTCTTGTGTGGCACTGACCCCACACACGCCTTTTGTCCTCTCTTCCCTTCCAATCTGGTTTCTTCTCCTACCCCCTTTCTGGCAGATACTTGGAGCATTCCCTACATGCCCAGCATGTGCAACCTGAGATAGCAGGGCAGGACACCCGAGCTGTTTCAGCCCTCCTTGCAGGCCCAGGGAGCAGAGAAGGGCAGATGCCTTGGGATTAAAGGGGAGATGGCCCTTTGGGTTGCAAGGGGAGAGACAGGTTCTAGTGTGATTTGGGGCCTAGGCATGGACTGAAGAGCTTTTGTGCTTTAAGAGAAAGTAGCAGAGACGGGAATCACCAGGCTTTACATGGAGATCTGAGTATTAGGAAATACCCTCTAGCGAAGGCTTGTAGAAACAGTGAGAAGGCTGAAGTGATGGCATCCTTATCCTTTCTTCACCTCTCACTCAACAGTCATTTCACTGCTTTCTCCATGCTTTTGTCAGTCAGCCTGGCAGATAGGGCTTTCCACCCTGGGTACCAGGATAAGGAGACTGTATAGAGTGCTGAGGTTCACTGTAACTTGTGACTTGGCTAGTAAAGACACAAGTAGACAGGTGGTTGGTTAAAATAGGCTTGGTGGCTCCTAGCCAGAGGAACTTAGCTGACCTGACAACCTCTGGATTCCTTCATCCTCTGGTCCCCTTAGAGATTCCTTTCCTGATTCCTACTCCCTGATCACTAAGAGTTTGAGGCTCTTGGCTCCCAATGGGAGATTGTAAGACTGGCCACAAAGAATCCTTGGAGTGAAGGTGGGAGACCCTTGTGTTTCTTTGTTCAGCATCAGATTAAGAGGGCAGATTTTACTAATATTAACTCACCACCATAATGGAGACAAAATTCATGCTTTCATGGACTTTTTTTTTTTTTTGAGGGTAATTTTTTGGGCAGGATTGGGGTTTGAGCTCAGAGCCTTGCACTTGCAAAGCAGATGCTCCACCACTTGAACCACACTTCCAGTCCATTTGCTCTGGTTATTTTGCAGATGAGGTCTTATAAACTGTTTGCCTGGGCTGGCCTTGAACCATGATCCTCACAATCTCAGCCTCTCAAATAGCTAGGATTATAGGCATGAACCACTGGTACCTGGTCTTGGGTTATTTTTGAGATAGGGTCTTTCTTTATGCCCCTCTAACATGGACTGTGATCCTCCTATGTGTGCTTCCCCTAATAGCTGGGATGACAGGTACCCACCACTGTGCTTAGCCATTGCTTTAGATGGGGTCTTGGGCTGGTCTGTGAATCTCCCCATCTCCCATCTCTCAAATAGCTAGGATTAGTAAGCTTGAACCACCTCAGAGTTTTCATTGTAACTGAGGAGATAAATCTAGCTATGTAGCCTCAGGAAAGAAGTTATCAACTCCTGTATTTTTCTGTTTCACTATCTTTAAAACAAGGATAATATTGTTATTAGGGTTCTTTTGTGTTGTATTTGTTGTGCTGGGAATTTAACCCAGGGTATCTTGGATGCTAGATAAGTGCTCTGTCTCTTACACCAGCCCTATTAAGATTGTTTTAAAGATTAAATGAAATAATCCTAAATCATACGCAGTACCTAGCATATGGTAAATGCTACTTATTACTATTACTGTTATAGGGAAGATTTCCTTGTTAAGTGTTCTAATTCTCTTGCTATTCTTAGGTAATTCAGTATCAAACTGTCCGATATGATATCCTCCCCTTATCTCCTGTGTCCCGGAATAGGTTAGGTAAGTATGCTGGCTGAGAAGACTCCTTGGAGGTAGGGTTCCAGCTCTGGGCTGGAGGTTAGTCATTTTTATCTCTTCTTTTTTACGGTTCAGCCCAGGTTAAGAGGAAGATCCTGGTGTTGGATCTGGACGAGACACTTATTCACTCTCACCACGATGGGGTCCTGAGGCCCACAGTGCGGCCTGGGACACCTCCTGATTTCATCCTCAAGGTGTGTGGGGGTAGGGAGTGATGAAATACTTATGTCTGTTGTTCTTCCCAGACTTGGACTCCCTTTCCCAGTCCCAGTGCTTAATCTCAAGCCCTGGCACTAGTGTCAGCCAGGAGTAGAGAAGCAGGCAGTAGGGGTGGGGGTGGGGTGTCTAGGTCTGGGTGGTGGTGCTAAGGGACTTCTCCCAGCTCTTATGTGTTCCTCTACAGGTGGTAATAGACAAACATCCAGTCCGGTTTTTTGTCCATAAGAGGCCCCATGTGGATTTCTTCTTAGAAGTGGTGAGTGTGCATGAACTAAGGAAGGCTCTGTGATGAAGCAATGGTTGTAGGGCTTTGGGAATTTAGGGGATTGGAGGAAAGGGTGAGGAAGTGAATGAAGACAGTTTTGGAGAGGAGAAGCCATAGGGAGATAAGGGAGTGGCTTACAGAATTTGGGGTTCACCTGTTGTACTGATGTAACTCTATTCTTCACAGACATCCTGCTCTTTTGTGTTTGCATCTATGAATCTTAAGGGTGTATGAACCCTAAGACACTGAATTTGGACATTTGCAGGGAGATTCAGAATTTTGTGACCCAGAGACATTTGATGTTGCTTTTAGGCCTGAAGGAGTAGGCTGCAAGAGAAGGATGTCTAAATGAGTGATCACCTCATATGACACCTCCCAAATCTATTTCAGGTAAGCCAGTGGTATGAGCTGGTGGTATTTACAGCAAGCATGGAGATTTATGGCTCTGCTGTGGCAGATAAACTGGACAATAGCAGAAGCATTCTCAAGAGGAGATACTATAGACAGGTAAAGAGCTAGAATCAGACTTGGGAGGCAGGTCACCAGGAAGGGATCTGGGTATGAGGCAGTTGCAGTGCGGGGAAGGCATACTGTATAATCCTCTGTTTTCCAGCACTGCACTTTGGAGTTGGGCAGCTACATCAAGGACCTCTCTGTAGTCCACAGTGACCTCTCCAGCATTGTGATCCTGGATAATTCCCCAGGGGCTTACAGGAGCCACCCAGGTACTGGGGAGGGTGATGAGTTTGGAAGGACCAGGACATGGACCTGGGGGAGCTTTTTAATTTCTGTTTTGTTTTTCTGGCAGTATTGGTGTTTATAGTCAGGGCCTCACATTTGTCAGGCAGGTGCTCTACTTGCCAGGCAGGTCATGTCCCCAGCCCAAGAATATGGATTTTGTTTTATTTATTTTTGAGGGTCTTGTGTTTGAACTCAGGGCTTCATGCTTACAAAGCTCTACTGCTTGAGCCATACCTCCCGTCCATTTTGCTCTGGTTATTTTACTTATTAATTCTTGCGGTGGTTATTTTGGAGATAGGGTCTTTCAAACTACTTCCCTGGGCTGGCCTTGGACCTCAGTTCTCTCAATCTCAGCCTCCCAAGAAGCTAGGATGATAGGTGTGAACCATCTGCACCCTGCTATATATATTTTAGTAAGTAATAAGTTTCAGGAAAAACTCTCAGGCTCTTTTGTGGTACTGGGGCTTGAACTCAGGGCCTTCACCTTGTCACTCCACCAGCCCTATTTTTGCGAAGGGTTTTTTGAGATAGGGTCTCTTGGTACTCTTTGCCTGGGCTGGCTTTGAACCGTGATCCTCCTATCTTTGCCTCCTGAGTAGCTAGGATTACAGGCTTGAGCCACCGGTGCCCAGCCCTCAGGCTCTCTTGAATCCTTTTCTCCTCTGCATTTTCACCCACCCTAGACAATGCCATCCCGATCAAATCCTGGTTCAGTGACCCAGCGACACTGCCCTTCTCAACCTGCTCCCAATGCTGGATGCTCTCAGGTAAGGGAAACAGGTTCTAGATACTTGGATTTCTGAGGAAAAGAAAAGGTAGGAAACCCCAAGAGAATAAAAATGTTTATTTACTTACTTACTTGTCTTCCCTTAAGAACTTAAGTGTTTGGACCAGGTCTTCTTACCATAGAGTTCGTCACTTTCAGCAGTTGGGTTTTGGTTAAATTGAACCTGTCTAATGAAGTGAAAGTGGTGAGAAGTTGTGTCCCTCATCTCCAGTGAGACCGCCTATTCTAGTGTTGTGAAGATGTCAACTGTAAGGTATCCCACCAATGCAAGTTATTGTCATCCAGGTTCACCGCTGATGTCCGTTCTGTGCTGAGCCGAAACCTTCACCAACATAGGCTCTGGTGACAGCTGCTCCCCCTCCACCTGAGTTGGGGTGGGGGGGAAGAGGAGAGCCCGTGGGATGCCATGTCTGATGCCCTGTCCAGTGTGAGGACTGCCTCGGCAGGGTCAACCCCTCCCACCCCTTTCTGCCTTGGGAGCCCTACACTCCACTTGGAGTCTGGATGGACACATGGGCTGGACTGTGAAGCAGCTTCACTCTAACTTCCTGTTCACCCTCCATGAAAATCCCAGACTGGGACACGTGGAGGCCTTCGTGAGCTGAAACTGTCTGGTGGAGAGGCAGGACTGGCCAGGATGAGAGACATACAGTGTTCCTGGAGGCTCAAAAGAGAAGCCAAGTCAGCTTTATTGTGATTTTTTTTTTAAACTCTTGTATAAAACTGATATAATTCATCACTCTTGCTCCAAGGGCTGGGCTGTGGGTGGGAGACTGGGACTTTGGGCCACTGGATCTTCCCCAATCTTGTCCTTCCTTACTTCAATTTTTTTTCTCTAGGTTCCCCCATACCTGTAACCAACTTTCTCTTTTTTCCTTTCCTCTCTTTTAAACCATGCATTATAACTTTGAAACCAAAACTGCCCTAGGTCCTTCTCTGGGATTTTGGGAAATAAAGGGAGGGAACTTTGTTCTCATCTACCCTATCCCTGAAGCAGAGGGGGTACACTGGTACTGGAGGTAGAAGAGAGATGATAATATGGGGATGTGGTTCTCAGAAAACACCAAATAACTTCGAAGAGCAAAGGCTGGGGCTCTGGTGGGGAGTGGAAGGATGGCTGTAGGGTGTAGAAGGATGAAAAGAGGAGAAACTTGGACACCCAAAAGAGCATGTACCTGGAGAAAGACTGGGCTTCACTTGGGGGACTGACGTGGACATCGTCGCTAAGCAGGCTGTCCCCGGGCAGGGCAGGGCGCCTGCTCCTCGGCCCTTCCCCCCAGCCGGCTCTACTTCCTTGCCACGTGATGCTCCTCCCGTCTCCTCGATCACATGATTTTCGCCGTACAAATTCTGAGAGTGTTCCTCCGCGCTGGCGTAGTCCCTACCTTTTGGACCTCCTACAGTCCCCAGTGGTCCACTTATTCCGGGACTGTAAGCATTTTATATGAATCTCTTTCCCTTATGCACATATTTCTGGAGCCCATCTCTGCTACTTGGGGTACTACTTTGTTTTGGTGTCAACGGCGTCCTTCAGCGTAGCAACACGTTTTGTGAATAGCCGTCCTTGTAATTGTCTGCTCTTCCCCTACGTAATTTCTGAGAAGAACTTGTGGAAAACCAAGTAATACTATGATTACCATCTCCTACCCCTTTCCCGCCCCAGATTTTTGGGGGATGGAGGTCGGGAAAGGGTTTTCAGTTATTTTCAACGACAGCCAAAGCCAACCTCTGCTACGTTGCCAGCGTAGCCCACAAATTGATTCTAAAGCAATTACGCTGATGGCGTGAGGGGGGCGGGCAGTAGGTGGTGCTGCGCTGGTGGCGTTAAGGCGCTAGGCTAGTGGCGTATTTTAGCGGGCGGGGCAGCTCAGATGGTCGGGGCGGAGTTGGTGAATAGGGAAGTGGCGCAAATCCGCGGATCGCTCCGCTGAGTCTGTCCGCGCTTCGCTGCTGCCGCCGCCCCCTATCCCGGCCCCCTCCCCCCTCCGGGTTCCCTCTGCCCATCTCGGTCCAGCCCGGTTCCTGGGAGGATGAAGTTCGTGTACAAAGAGGAACATCCGTTCGAGAAGCGCCGCTCCGAGGGCGAGAAGATCCGAAAGAAATATCCGGACCGGGTCCCGGTGAGGACAGTAGTCAGGGCCGAAGCTTGGGGCTCTTAACGCTGACGCCACAGCCTCTGCTTCGGTCTGGGACGGGCAATGCGGAGTCAGCTTGCAGTCTGGTGGGGTGGAGAGTGAGCCAGAAATTGAGATTCTGGGTCTGAGAGGGAAAGGAGTGTAGTAGCCATTGGGCTGTGGGTAAGGGGTTGATGGGAGAGAGAAGCATTGGCATTCGTGGGAGTAGAGGTCTTAAGAGAGTTTGACAGCCCGCGGTTCACATGGTCATCATCCCAGCTAGCTAGGTTTCCCAGATTGAAGCTCGATTTAAGTAAATCATCCTGCTACTGTGATTAAGATAGTTGTTTATTAAGACGCGCTATTCCGGGATCTATCGTGGATATTTAGGTGAGCCAGTGGGGTCAGGATCTCTGGGCTCCCCGTACTGCACTCTGTGTACAAAGAGAGATGAGACTGGGGTAGGTTTAAGTACTGGGAATGTTGTAGCTTGAGTTCTTGACAGGTGGAGCTGTGGGTTGTATTCCTTATGTCTTCTAATTTATATTTTTTCCTTTATCAGGTGATAGTAGAAAAAGCTCCCAAAGCTCGAATAGGAGACCTGGACAAAAAGAAATACCTGGTGCCTTCTGATCTCACAGGTGAGAACCTGTCCCAAGATTCAGGTTTCCTTTCTGTGGGTGGGAGTTCCATCTCTGTGGGAGGAGGCTCCACCTAGCAGCTGTTTTTTGGAAAGCTTTGATGACATCTGTGACGTTCTTGCACCTTGTATCTTTGGTAGTTGGTCAGTTTTACTTCTTGATCCGGAAGCGAATTCATCTCCGAGCTGAGGATGCCTTGTTTTTCTTTGTCAACAATGTCATTCCACCTACCAGTGCCACTATGGGTCAGCTATACCAGGTATGGTAGATACCTGGGAAGTAGTGGAAAATTTGGAAAGGAGTGTTGGGAGAACTTGAAGGGAACAAAGTATTAGGTCAACACTTTTTGGACTAGTTGGTTTTCTAGACTTAAGTTTTCATGATAGTCCTGGGTTGGGGTTTACAGAGCAGTGGAGTAGAAAGAAGGCAAGAGACAGTGAGCTGGATGAACTCTGATGAGTTCTGATGGGGACTTCACCCAGGTTTTCTCATTCCAAGATGCCAGAGAACAGTTAGTTTGAGACAGTTTTGCTCAAGACTGTTGCAAGAATGATACCGCTTAGCTCCTAAGGCCTGATGTCTTAGGGAGCACGTCAAGCACTGGTTTTTGAAGCGTTTAAAAATTGGTTCTTGCGGGGCACGGTAGTACAAAACTGTAATCCTAGTACTTGTGAAGCCGAGACTGAAGGATCTTAGAGTTAGAAGTCAGCTTGGGTTACATAGTGAGTTTGGGCCAGCCTGGATTACTTAGGGAAACCCTGTCTCAAATGAAAAAACGGAGGAAAGAGTGGTTTTTGAATGAAGTATCTGGGTGTTGGGTGCTTTAAAGAACTGAAGCCCAATTGCCTGAATAATATTTTCTGCTTTCACTCCAGGAACACCATGAAGAAGACTTCTTTCTATACATTGCCTACAGTGATGAAAGTGTCTATGGTCTGTGAAGCTGCTGCCCCTGAAGTGGGGATCCCATACTACAAAAAGAGAGGTGGCGCCCCTTCCTTGACCTCCATCTCCTCCTTCCGGCTCAAAAAACATCTCCCTTCTTCAGGACCTGTGCTTAATATTTGAGGCTTTCTCTGCAGCCCCTCTTTGCAGAAGGGGTAATGGTGGACATGGCCTCTTATACCTCTCCTTTCTTCCCCCTCCTACCCTACTTTGCTTTAGACTTGATTGTCAGTCTCTGCCACATCCAGTAATTGTTTTGGTTTCTATTTCCTTTCTAACTGTCCATGAGGGTCAGAACCGCAACATCCAACAATTCCTTTTCTCAACCTTTTCTGGGGGTACATGGAAGGGACTGAAATTGTGGGGGAAGGTTGGAGGCACATCAATAAAGGAAACAACCAAGTTGAACTGAATTTTGCCTTGTGTTGCTCTCCTCTCCCTTTTGTTTTTAGTTTTTTGAAAGCCTTGTGGGCTTAACTAGTGGGGAAAGAGAAGGAATGGGTACAGATTGGAGGAATACAAATATATTTTGGCTTATTCTGTTGAGGATTTCCCTCTTTTCAAAAGGGTACTTTGTGTGTGTGTGTGTGTGTGTGTGCGTTTGAATGGAATACTCTTGAATATTGTTTCATGAAACTTTAGTTTTTATATATGTGTGTTGGATTTTAATGTTTAAAAAAATTATTTTTACTATGGTTTCCTGTGGAGAAAGTTTGCAAGTACTTTATACTTTGGATTAAGCATATCCAAATTTGTTATTCTGGATGAAGGAAGAGATTTCATAAGTGGTAAAAGGACTGTTCTCAGTTGCATGTCACTTGTAGAATTTGTGCCAGCATGTGGGATCCAATGGAGTCGAATTCCAGGGAGGGAGAAGACTGGGAGGAGGGAGTTATTACCAGGACGACTTCATCTCCCAGAAGTCATTTCTTCTGTCTGGCCGGAAGTGGGACGGTCCCCTTTGAGGAGAAAGAAGGCGCAGAATTGAGGCAGTATGGTAGCCGAGAGTGCTAAACCCTTCTTCCTCTTATATATATAATTTTTCGTCCGCCTAGACTACATTTCCCAGGAGCCTGCGCGCGCTCTTCCGCTCTACCCTCCTGTTTTATCTCCCCGCCACTCCCCGGGGGAGGGGAGCGTCTTACTGCGCCTGCGCTAGTTCATGGCTTGCTGGGAACTGAAGTTTCGCAAGCTCTTACGCTTTCCTTTCCGCTGTCCCCGGACGGACTACAAACCCCTTGGTGCACTGCGCGTCGGCGCCGGTGGGGGGGGAAGAGGAGGGGAGAGAAGAGGAGGGAGGGAGGAGAGAGGAGGGAGCAGGCGGCCGGCGGCGCGGGGGGAGGGGGCCCGGTCCGGGAGTGCGGGAGGCAGTGGTAGAGGGAGGTGGCGGCAGCGGCTTATCGCACTGGAGTCTCAACCGGGCCGAAGCAGACACTTCTGTGGAGCTAGGCAGTAGAAGCAACCAAGCACCAGAGGCGGCACCGGGATCCCCGGCTCAGGGGAGGGGGGCGCCGGGCCGGGAGGAGGGGAGGGGGCGATGCTGGAAGCCATGGCGGAGCCCAGTCCCGAAGGTGAGTGCTTGTCGACCGGCACGGAGCGGCGGGAGGCGGGGGAGGAATCAATTGGCAAACTTGGAGGTCGAGCCCCAGAGCCCAGCGGGGGAGTGCGGGAAAGGGTTCGGGGGCTTTGCTTTGGAGGAGGAGAGCGACGAGTTGAGAGACCTTGGAGAAAGAGGAGTGGGAGGCTGGATTGGGATAGTTGGAGATCACTCACCGTGTGTGTGTGTGGGGGGGGGGGGGGGTAGGGATACGAGCTGGAGCGCCTGAGATTCGGGGGGTTAGTGGCTGAAATGGCCTCGGACTGGCTGGGGCCCTGGAGCTGGTGGGTTGGAGGATTTGGGGACCGGAGAGTTGAGGAGGGAGGACGTAGCAGAGGACTGAGTGAAGGGCCCGGTAGTTGGCCGAGGCGGGGGAGTTTGTGGCCCTGGTGCCGGAGCTCCCATAGTTGCCGCCAGAGATAGCCTGGTGATTGTTAGAGGGGTGGGCAGGTAGTTGGGGGAAGAAGAAGAGGTCTGGGTATTGTCTGTGGTAGAGGGACTTGGACCGGGAGTAGTTGCGGGGCGAGAGAGCTGAGTAGTTATAGGGGCGGTGGGGCGGAGTGGGGGGTTAAGACAGGCGACTTGCGGGGGGGGTGTTGGTCAGAGAGGGTTAGAGGGAGTTGCGGAGGGTGAGGGGGCAGCGGCGGCGGCCGCAGGGCTGCTGGGGAGAGTAGCTGGTTGAGGGGGGGCTAGAGCTTAGGGGTTCGTAGCCTAGTGACTTGGTGAGTACAGGGGTGGGGGGGGCGGCGACAGGAGAAGCTCCGGACTCGGCCCGGGGCCCCGGCGGGGAGCCTGAGGAGCTCGAGACGGGGAGGGGCTAAGGCCCCGGATGGGGGCGGAGGGACGGCGAAATTGTGGGGAGCGCGGTGTGGGGGGGCGCAGGTGGGGCCGCGTCCGGGTACGAGCTCTCCGGTCGTCCCGGACGCGAAGTAGTGTTGGGTGTGTGTGCCTGTGTGTGTTTTGGGTGGGGGTGAGGGGCGCGCCCGGCCTCGTGCTCGAGTAGAGGGGGCCGGAGGGCGGAGAGCGGTTCAGCATGGTCATCCTGGACCCTGGGGCCCGGCGGGCTGCGTGTGCGGTCTTGGAGAGCCCAGGGCGGTGGAGCGCGGCCGGGTAGGAACTCTGGGCTCCGGGCGCGTGTGAAGGACGGGGGCGGGCGGTGGCCCGGGCTCGGCCCTGGGAGCGGTATGGCGGGGTGGAGCGCTGAGAGATCGGGGTAGACTGGGGGAGTGGTGACTGGTGGGGCGGAGCGCCGGCCTCCGGTAGGGGGAAGGGGAGCGCTATAGCGAGGCTGGTGAGGGCACAGCGCCCAAGCTCCGCCCCACGTGGGGCGGAAGGGGGAGCAGGGGCGGGTCCAGCACAGCTGGGGGCCTGCTGGCCTGTCCAGGGATTTAGGAGAGGACTGGGTTCACTTGGGACCTCCAAGGTTTAGAGGCGGGGTTTTTACACATACTATTTCCTAGTGCCTTGACTCAGCTTTTATTGCTTCTACAGATCCACCTCCGACTCTGAAGCCAGAGACTCAGGTGAGTGGTCCCTTACCTTTGCAGGCCGTTCTCCCCTTTCGGGTTTTCTAGATTCCCTCACTTTAGGGATTGTGCCTGTGGGTCCCTTACACTCCTATCTGGTTTTCATGTTACCTACATTTCTTTTCTTTCAGCCACCAGAGAAACGTAGGAGAACAATTGAGGATTTCAACAAATTCTGCAGTTTTGTCTTGGCTTATGCTGGTTACATCCCCGCTAGCAAAGAGGTAGGTATAGAACAATCAACTCGAGCTGGGACTATATTACTTTATTGGAGAAGCTTGCCTGAAATGCAAACTGTTAGGTTTGTGGTGGGAAGGCTGGTATGGGAGGGCATAATAGAGATGACTGGCTTGAGCAGCAGTGATTTAGGGAGGATTTGTAGCTGTTGATCAAGATTTTGGATGGGTCTTGGGTTGCTGTTAGTGGAAGGTGTTCTGGATGAATTTTAGGGAGCTGCAAACAGTAACAAGTAAGACTACAGAAATGACTAAAGAAATACTGGCTTTGATTTTGAGGATGCAAGCCCTGGGCGTAGAGCAGTGAAGAGATGGCTAGAACTTGAGGGTAGAGGTAACACGCAAGTGGTCAGGAGATGCTGATGGAAATTAGGATGAGAATAAATCTCAAACACCTGATATTTGGAGGAGTTTACTTTGGGGAAGATGTAGTCCCTAGTTTTCAGACTGGGTTTATGGAGGCGATGAGGTGACACTAGGTTTCTGCTGACCCTGGTGTCTTCCTCCTTTTAAGGAAAGTGACTGGCCAGCCTCTGGCTCTAGCTCTCCGTTGCGAGGTGAGAGTGCAGCTGACAGTGATGGCTGGGACTCGGCCCCATCAGACCTTCGAACTATCCAAACTTTTGTTAAGAAAGCAAAGTCATCCAAGAGAAGGGCAGCTCAAGCAGGTCCCACCCAGCCAGGACCTCCAAGGTCCACTTTCTCTCGTCTGCAGGCCCCTGACAGTGCCACCTTGCTTGAGAAGATGAAGCTCAAGGACTCTCTCTTTGATCTGGATGGGCCCAAAGTGGCATCTCCACTGTCCCCCACATCCCTGACACATACCTCTCGGTCCCCTGCTGCTCTCACCCCAGTATCCCTTTCACAGGGGGATCTCTCCCAGCCTCCTCGAAAGAAGGACCGAAAGAACAGAAAGTTGGGGCCAGGAGGGGGGGCTGGCTTTGGGGTGCTTCGGAGGCCTCGGCCAGCTCCTGGGGATGGAGAAAAGAGGTCTCGAATTAAGAAGAGTAAGAAGCGGAAGTTGAAAAAAGCAGAGCGGGGGGATCGACTCCCACCTCCTGGTCCTCCCCGGGCACCCCCCAGTGATACAGACTCTGAAGAGGAGGAGGAGGAAGAGGAGGAGGAGGAAGAGGAAGAAGAGATGTCGACAGTGGTAGGGGGTGAAGCCCCAGCCCCTGTGTTACCAACACCCCTCGAGGCCCCTAGGCCCCCTGCCACAGTGCATCCTGAAGGAGCTCCCCCCACTGACAGCGAAGGCAAGGAAGTGGGCAGCACTGAAACAAGCCAAGATGGAGATGCCAGTTCCAGTGAAGGCGAGATGCGGGTCATGGATGAGGACATCATGGTAGAATCAGGTGAGAAGTTTGGACACGGGCAGCTGTCCAGCGAAAATGTGTTTGGAGGTGGGAGGGAAGGGGGTATTGTGGATCCAAGAGCTCAGGCAAAACTCCAAACCTTCTTTTCCCCAGGTGATGACTCATGGGACCTGATCACGTGTTACTGCCGAAAGCCCTTTGCAGGGCGGCCCATGATTGAGTGCAGCCTGTGCGGGACATGGATCCACCTCTCCTGTGCTAAGATAAAGAAGACCAATGTCCCTGACTTCTTTTATTGCCAGAAGTGCAAGGAACTGCGGCCAGAGGCCCGGCGGATAGGGGGGCTTCCCAAATCTGGAGAGCCTTGACATCACTATCTTAGGCTGGAACTTCTGAATGACAACAGGACTTGGGAACTGAGCCTCAGGGTCCTCAGCCTATTTCCTGGAGCTTGGATATTGTACCCCCCACTTCAAGGCAGGAATTCCCAAGGGAGACTTGTTTGGAAATGAGTGTCTTCAGTTCCTAACCTAGCCTTGCTGCTCCATGGACTTGAAATTGGACCTGCTGCGGTTGGGGTGGGGGGTTGTATGGGAGAAGGCCATCTGGATCTGTGGAGATCTCTGGACATAATTTGTCCCTTTGACCTGCCACCCCTCACTTCCTGGGCCAGGGTTCAAATTTGGATGGAATGGGACAGTTGTCTATATAAAACTCTAGTGTAAATATAACACTCCCCTCCCTCATCCTTTCTTCTATTTCACTCCTCATTTATTTTTCTTTACCGGTTGTGTTTTTAATTTTGGACTTCCCTTTTTTGAGTATGGCAGCTCAAAGGTGGAGTACCAGAGCCTGGCCAAGTGAAGAAGGAAAGCAGAAAGGTGACAGTTGTCACCCCGTTTTTAATATTGGCCAGCAGTTTGTACAGATAGCCTGCGTGTTGTAAATAAAGCAGAGTGGGCTCTTTTGTGTTTTTAGCCCTCACTGATTGTTCTGCTTGGGAGGGAGGCTTTGAAAAATCTGGCAGAAGACTAGCTGGAGCTGGGCTGAAACCCCCACCCCTCATGGTCCAATCTGAAAATTGACCCTGTCTGTTTTACCCATCCTAGGCTAGAGTAGCCAACCCTAGGGCCCCAATTGGCTTTGCATGTCCCCACCCCGGTCCACTTCCCACCCTCCCTGCTGCTTTATGCTCCCTGCCTGGTTAGGTAAGGCTGAGTGGAAGCCAGTTGCCTGCTTCTTGAAGGCAGAGGCCAGTTTGGTCACCACGCTGGGGGAGGGGGCACACTTTGAGGCGGAGTCGTTTAGAACCAGGAGACCGTTGCTCAAGGTAGCGATCACGTGGCGGAGCTTAGGCGGAGCCAGGTGAACACGTGACTAGCCATAGCCACGTGACAGGGCGGCCTGTGGTGGGCGGGCTTGGATCACGTGGTATGGTGAGAGGTGGGCGGGGACCTGCAGCGTTCTTTGGTCGTCTGTGTAGGTGGCGCGCGGCGTCCGCGTCCGCAGTTTTGGGTCGCACCTTACGGCGGGCTCCCCCACCCCTGGTGCCCCACCGTTTACCCCCTCTACCCATCTACCGCACAGGTCTAGTCCTGTCGGCCTTCGCGCGTCTGTTTGCAGGTGTGCGCAGGCGCGGCGGGGGCTGTTAGCCTGGTCGGGTGGGCGGTGGAGCTCGGGAGTGCGCGGGCGAGACCATGGCGGGCAGCAGCATGGGGGGCGGTGGCGTCGGGGAAACGAAGGTGATTTACCACCTGGATGAGGAAGAGACTCCCTATCTGGTGAAGATCCCTGTCCCCGCCGAGCGCATCACCCTCGGCGATTTCAAGAGCGTTCTGCAGCGGCCCGCGGGCGCTAAGTACTTTTTCAAGTCTATGGATCAGGATTTCGGGTGAGCGCGAGGCCTAGACTGGAAAGGACTGAGGCTTTAAAGTGGGTTGGGTGATATTGAGGAAGACCGATATACTTTGGGATTTTTCTGGCCTATAGTGGAGCAGTTGTTTGGTGGGGTAGATTGCCTATTCCAGAAGGGACAAGGTTATGCTTAGATTTACAGAAGGACAGACTGTGCTAGAATAAACCATACTAGAAAAGATTAGGCTATACAAGAAGAGATGGGGACATATTGATTTGGGGGATATTCTGGACTGTATTAAGATAGATTGACTTGTCTTTTGGTAATTTGGTATGCTCTGAGCAGTTGTGTAGCACACAGGCTGTGTGGGGATATTCTGTAATCTCTTGATGTAGACTATACTGTACTGGGGCAACTTGGGATATTCTGGCCTGTTCTTGGGTGGACAGCATTGTTTTGGGACATCCTATTCTGTACCAATGTAAAACAGGCCTCTATTCTAGGCTGCTCTGAAATAGATTATTTTGGAGAAATTTGGGCCATTCTACTTACTTGGTTGGTTGGAGTTTCTCTTGGGGCCAGACATGGTTTTTTTGGGTAGTCAGTACAGGGTCAAATAAAACTGCTGGGGCCTGTGTTAACTAGTACAGACAGCTGTATTGGGATATTATAGTCTATATTGGTGTAGACAGCTGCTTGTGGGGACACTGTAGGATCTATTTGAATAGATTGGGCTATTCTGAGGTAATTTGTAACATTCTGGGCTATCCTGAGCTAGAGTTGGTTTGTAAATAATGCAGGGTAAGCCCTCTTCTTTACAGCCTTTGGGACTAAGCCCTCTGGGTCCTGAGCCTTAGAGTTTGAAGGCAGGCTGGATTAGTTTGGAATAGCCTGGGTTGGCAGGAGCAGGAATGGGGTGTGTGTTGGGGACACAAAGGTTATTTATCACCCAAATGAGGGAGAGATTCCCTACCTGTGAAGATCCCGGTCTGACGGAAAGCATCATTTTTGGCTAGGAGAACTGAACAACATGTACTCTACCTAGAAGGATTGTTCATCTCTTAGGAGTTCTCTTGGCTTTAAATCAAGGTTCTTCTGCTCATTTTTGACATTGTAATCTTGGGCAATTTAACTTTTGTGCCTCATTTGTGACATGGGGACAATCAGACTCTGAAATGCTTAATTAAGGTGCATGGTACACAGTAAATTCTGGGTGAGTGGAAATTTTCACTATTAGTATTGAGGTTAGCTAGTTTGTAGATTATGTTATAGCAATACAAAATTGCTTGCCTTGGAGTAGACTGAGCTATGGTGATAATTGGGTTATGTTGATCAGATTGATAGTGACTGGCCTTTGTTGTCACATTGATAGCAAATAGATTAAGGTGGCATATATCCAAAGCTTCCAAACCACAGTAGGTTAAAGAGTTAATCAGACAAGATGTTAATCTGAGGGTGAGAATGTATCTGTGTGTCTGAGAGCCTAATTGTTCTTATGTCTTTTTATTTAGTCAACAGATAATTTGTTAATGCCTGTTAAGCGTCAGGGATGGTGCTATATGCCCAGGATATGGTGTTGAACAGAACAGGTGTTAATGTTTGGGTGTGGGGGTTGAGAAGAAGGGGCAAGTCCAGTCTACTGCAAGAATCTATGGGTCTAAAGACCCTCATGGCTGAGCTTTGGGATATATGAGGCTGAGGAGCTTGCTTAGTGCAGAGTTTTGTGCCACGTGAAGCACAGGGGAATGGGAAGCCTGGCTTCCCTTCTCCTTGGAAGCTATTGTAATTAGGAGGTACTGTTGTTTCTTCTAATGGGTGTTTTTACCCAGGCAAAGACCCACATTTGGACAGCTTTCCCGATGTGAATTAGAGGAAACTAAAGGGAAGTGGAACAGTAGAGACTTACATGAGGACCAAAGCCTTGTCTGGGCAGGTGCGTAAAGCACAGGGATGGGGTTGGGGAGAGGCTGTCAGCAAGGCTCCTAAGTCAGACATATTTTAGGCAGCTGTGTAACCGTTGGGGATGGCCTTTGAAATTGTACTGAAAGGTTTGAATCAGACTGAAGGAAGTCTTTGGAGCAGCATTGTGCCCCTGAGGATGAGCTGGGGACAGAAGGTGAAATAAGGAAAGGTAATTGTGTGTCTGGAAATTTCTCATATGTGAGAACAAGTAGTTTCAGTGTAAGAGTAGAAGACTTGGACAGGGCAAGTGAGAGTAACTGTTCTTGGGCTGGATGAAGATGAGGGGAAAATTTGAATGGGATTGAGGGTGAGGATGGCTAATCCAGCCTCATTGATCTCTGGTGTCTTTCTACAGAGTGGTGAAGGAAGAAATTTCAGATGACAACGCCCGCCTCCCTTGCTTCAATGGAAGAGTGGTATCCTGGGTAAGGGTCCCTACTGATGACCAAACTTCTCCAAGCCTCAATCTGTTTCTAAAGCCCTACCCGGCCGAGTTGTTTGCAGCCCTAACTCTACCTCCTACCTACTTGGAGAGCCAGTGGGAGTCCCTTAGCCTTCTCCTTTTGGAGTCTCTTATAGGAGCTACGCTTTCTGAGCTTTTCCCTAGAGTCTCTTAGATTCTGCCCTTTCTGATCTTTACCTTGGATCCCGCTCATGCTGCACCTTCTGGTGGAGCCATGTTTTCTCATTTGCATTCTTCTAGCTAGTGTCATCAGATAACCCCCAATCTGAGATGGCTCCCCTGGCCCATGAGCCTCGGACAGAACTGGTGCCACCTCCACCACCATTACCCTGTTTGCCACCAGAGAGAACCAGCGGTATTGGGGACTCAAGGCCTCCATCCTTCCAGTAAGTCCATTGCACTCTTGAGTCCAGGGGAGGGAGGTGAGGAGGGAATCCAAGCCCTTTGGGAAGGGAGGCTGAGGATTTGGAGCCCTGTCCTACTGAGGTGGGTTGGAAATCATCTCTGCCCATCTAGCCCTAATGTGTCCAGCAGCCATGAAAATCTGGAGCCTGAGACAGAAACTGAGTCAGTTGTGTCATTGAGGCGAGAGCGACCTCGAAGGAGAGAAAGCAGTGAGCATGGTGGTGAGGGGGGCCAGTCCCTGGTGGCTGGGTAGACTGGGAGCTGGGAAGCGGGGGCAGGCCCCAGCCTTGATGAGAATGAAGGGTGGGAGGCCTGGCTCTTGAGGTTCTCGTTTATATTAGCTGGAGGCCACAGGCCCAGTGGTTCCTCAAGGCTGGAGCGCCACCTGGCTGGGTACGAAAGTTCCTCTACTCTTATGACCAGTGAGCTGGAGAGTACCAGCCTGGGAGATTCCGATGAGGATGATACCATGAGCAGGTATGGCTCTACGTGTCTCTTCCCAGGGTTGCTTCTGTTCCCCTCCCTTCCTTCCTTCTAGTCAGTCCTCTTATGTTTCTCATGACCGTATGACCACTTCGACCTCCAAGTGCTTCTCGTCCCAACCCGTCAGGTTCAGCAGTTCCACAGAGCAGAGCAGTGCCTCCCGCCTTCTCAAGCGCCACCGGAGACGGAGGAAGCAGCGGCCACCTCGAATGGAGAGAGTGAGGGATTCTCATGGGACAAGTGGGCCTTAGTTTAGGTGGTCAATTTCGGGTTTATTTCTGGATTGTTGAAGGATAGTCTACCTCTTTTTCTTCCCACCACAGACCTCATCGTTCAGCAGTGTCACGGATTCCACAATGTCTCTCAATATTATCACAGTCACACTCAACATGGGTATGGAGGGGCCTGATTGAGGGGAGGGGAGTTGTGGGTCTTGTGGGTTCCTGGAGCTTCTTCATTTCTCTCCTCACATGGACTCCTTCTACAGAGAAATACAACTTCCTGGGCATCTCTATTGTGGGCCAAAGCAATGAACGGGGTGATGGAGGCATCTACATTGGCTCCATCATGAAGGGGGGTGCTGTGGCAGCCGATGGCCGCATCGAGCCTGGAGACATGCTTTTGCAGGTGTGCCGGGGTGGGCTGCTGAGCTCACTGGACAGGGGCCTTGGGTTTTCCATCCTGCCTTTGACTAGCTTCTCCTCACTTTCAGGTGAATGACATGAACTTTGAGAACATGAGCAATGATGATGCTGTGCGGGTGCTGAGAGATATTGTGCACAAGCCTGGGTGAGCCTCTGAGCTATCTCAGATCCTCAGGCCTCTTGTTTTGGCCCTTTCACCTTTTGTTTTGCAATTTTAAAAAGTGGTAAGACATAACAAATTATGCATAGAAATGAATGATGTAACAAATAATGTTAGAGTAACTACCCATGTCTACTACCTAGATTACAAAACAGAGGATTGCTGATACCTCAGAAAACTTGCCCTCTCTGTGTCCCTTCCCTCTCCCAACCTCCTCACTGCTCCAAGGGGTAATCATCCTCTTGACCATTTTGGTCAAGGAAGTCTTTGCTTCACTTGATGGTTTTCCACCCATGCATGAACCCTGGAATAACATGGTTCGGTGTTACCTGTTTTGTATTTTCCGTGAATAGAATTGTACAGCATGTACTCCCTTGTTTGACTCAGCAGTGTGTTTTTAAGTTATCCATGTTGGTGAGTCTTCCACATTGTGGAATCCTCCACTCTAATTTTTTCTGGCCAGCCATGTGTATGTTCTCTTCTTTTCCCTTTTTCTGTCCCTTAATCCATTTTTGTTCCAGGCCTTGGCACTCCTGAGGCCTCTTGCTTTCCACAAATAACTGGCCTTCTCTTCCCACAGCCCAATTGTCTTGACCGTGGCCAAGTGTTGGGATCCTTCTCCCCAAGCCTACTTCACTCTCCCCCGAAGTGAGTGAGTGAGTGATGCTTAGTTAAGGCTCTGAAGTCAAGAAATCAGGGGAGCCTGAAGGTTGGGCTGGTTCTGCAGAATACAGGGAATGGGTTGGAGAATGTTACTGGAGAGGTGGAATGGGAGTCTGCATCCTGGAGGGACAGGGCTGGTTTTCTGGGATTGAGAAGTGCTTATCTTGGTGGCTTTCTTTGTCCCAGATGAGCCTATTCAGCCAATTGATCCTGCTGCCTGGGTATCACACTCTGCTGCACTCACTGGTACCTTTCCAGCCTATCCAGGCTCCTCATCCATGAGCACCATTACATCTGGATCTTCTCTGCCTGATGGTGAGTCCCCAGCCCACCTCCTGTTGCCCTTTGTGAGTGAGCCCTTTCCCCAGTTTCTCATTGTCTCCTCTATCAGGCTGTGAAGGCCGGGGTCTCTCCATCCATATGGACATGGCATCTGTAACCAAGGCTATGGCAGCTCCAGAGTCTGGTCTGGAAGTCCGGGACCGCATGTGGCTCAAGATCACCATCCCGAATGCCTTTCTGGGTACCACTGGGTCCTGGGCAGTGTCACATAGGAAGGGGAGGAGGAGATGAAAAGTGGGAATGGTACAGGCAGGGTTGAGGGTGGGAGTTGGGAGGAGAATCTGAGGCCTTTTTCCACTGTGGGTGATCTCAGGCTCAGATGTGGTCGACTGGCTCTACCATCATGTGGAGGGCTTTCCTGAGCGCCGAGAGGCCCGAAAGTATGCCAGTGGGCTACTGAAGGCAGGTCTCATCCGACACACTGTGAACAAGATCACCTTCTCTGAGCAGTGCTATTACGTCTTCGGGGACCTCAGTGGTGGCTGTGAGAGTTGTAAGTCCCTGGCCCTGGCAGAGCAGCTCAGCCTGCCTTGTCCTGCCTCTCCAACTTCATATCTGGCCCAGAAACTACAGGGCCACCATGGGCATTTGAGCAGTATGTGTCCTGGCCGAGGATGAGGGCTACTGGGGATTGGTGTATGCCCATGTTCTGTGGAATAAGCTATGCACTAACTGCAGAGCTGTATCTCCTGGGAGAAGAAGTACCTCTTCTTGAGTGTATTGGATTAGTAGTTGCCCTTACTGTGCCCCTGTCCTAGTAACAGTTTTTTTTTGTAACATATCTGATCCTTATTATTATGGGTGGCTCTGGAGAAATGGTTCTTAGTTCCTCCCCATTCTTGGGAGTGTTGGCTTCTTTTTTTTTTTTTTAGTTGGTGGTATTAGGGTTTGAACTTGGCCTTGTGCTTGCTAGGAAAGTACTGTACCACTTGAGCTATGCCCCTGCCCTTTGGGCTTTGGTTATTTTTTTCAAATAGGGTTTTGCATGTTTTTGTCCAGACTGGTCAGGATCATGATTCTCTTATTTATAGGCACTAGGATGAGGTCTAGGAGCATAGCTCAAGACTTGAGTGCTTGCCTAGCAAGCATGAGGCCCTGAGTTCAAAGCCCAGTACTGCCAAAAAAAAAAAGAGCTAGGATGACAGGCATGATTGAATTGCTATACCCAGCTTTTATTGGTGGAGATGGTATCTCAGGCCTTGAACCTTGATCCTCCTGATCTCTGTCTCCTGAGTACATGGGATTATAGGCACAAGCCATTGCACTTAGCTAGTCCTGGCCTCTTAAAGCAGTAACTTTTTACTCTCTTTCCTTGTGTTCCAGACCTAGTCAACCTGTCTCTGAATGATAATGATGGTTCCAGTGGGGCTTCAGACCAGGACACCTTGGCTCCGCTGCCTGGGGCCACTCCCTGGCCCCTGTTGCCCACTTTCTCCTACCAGTACCCAGCCCCTCACCCCTACAGCCCACAGCCCCCACCCTACCACGAACTATCCTCCTACACCTACGGTGGGGGCAGTGCTAGCAGCCAGCACAGTGAGGGTAAGTCACCCCCCAGATACCAGTGTAGCCAGGGACTGGGAGTACAGAGGAGGGGAGCCAGGGAGGAGAGACTAGATAGAGCTGGGGGGCAAGGGAAGCCAAGAGGACCCTGGGCTGAGTCTTACTTGTTCCATCCCTCTCCCCTCACAGGGAGCCGGAGCAGTGGGTCAACACGAAGTGATGGGGGGGCCGGGCGCACAGGGAGGCCTGAGGAACGGGCCCCTGAGTCCAAGTCGGGCAGTGGCAGTGAGTCTGAGCCCTCCAGCCGGGGGGGCAGTCTTCGGCGAAGTGGGGAACCTGGTGGGACTGGCAATGGGGTCCCTCCTCCATCCAGGAATTCAACAGCGGTTGCTCCCAATCTCCGAGCCCATCCAGGCCTCCATCCCTATGGACCTCCTCCTGGCATGGCTCTCCCCTACAACCCCATGATGGTGGTCATGATGCCCCCACCCCCACCCCCTGTTCCTGCAGCAGTACAGCCCCCAGGGGCTCCTCCAGTCAGAGACTTGGGCTCTGTGCCCCCAGAACTAACAGCCAGCCGCCAAAGTTTCCACATGGCTATGGGCAACCCCAGTGAGTTCTTTGTAGATGTTATGTAGAGCCCACCATGGGGCCATGCTGGGTCTTTGCCCTTGCCCTGTCCACTTATGGCTTGGTGCTTCTGTTCTGTGACTGGGTGTCTTTTTCAATCACATCCTCAATTCTTCACAGTGCCTGGGCTCAGCCTGGTGGCTGCTGCTTACCATAAGGTTATTGCCACTGTGACTCACCAGCAGTGCCTGGTCCTGCCCCTTCTCAGGGGTAGATAAGGGCCCTTTGGTTATTTTTAGCTTTATTTTTTTATAAATCTTTTTTTTAGGGGTTCAGATAGATTTTCTTACATTTTTGGGACTATTTTTACTAGATATTTCCTCTTTTATATGAAGAATCCCCATCTCTTGGGTCCCTTCTAACTCCAGAATGTGACCACCTCCACTTGCCCAGTTAGTGCTGTCCTTTGCAGGGTGGAGGGTGGTCAGTGGTACCCTGGGAAGAGGAAGGGGATTGGGTACCCTGGGAAGAGGAAGGGGATTGGGTACCCTACATAGTAGTCCAAGTAAGCTGGGGTATTTGGTATTTGGGGGCCATGTAACTACCTTTGTTCTATTTATTTTAGTCACTTGTATAAAACACCAAATAAAGCAATAGAGGCAAACTCCCCAAAGCCTCTGGCTCCTTTCTTTGGGAGGGAGACCAAGGAAAATAACTGAGATATAATAGCAAAGCCTTCTGTGTTAAAAACTTTATTGTAAGGCAGTAAGTACTCTTGAGGGCAGGCACAGTCCTGGGAACACAAGGCTCCCTACAGGGTGAACCAGAGCCCCAAGAGAAGGCACATAACTTGGTCAGGCCATGACTGAGAGGATTCAGAAGCCAAGGGGGTTGCTGGTGGCCACACCACCCCGCTCTACCAAGGCTTTGGAGATGCTTTTGAAGTTACGGAAGAGTTCCTGCTGCCATGATTCAGACTGCAGAGCAGCCATGTTTTCCCGAATGCGAGCTGCAGCCTAGGGAGAGGGAAAGAGGGGGTCAGGCCTGTGGCTCCAGTTGTGTCCACCTACACCAGTAGCCCCAAGGCTTACCTCAATACACCAGCTATCACAGAGCATTTTTTCATGCTGGGCTGTGGGGTAGCCCTCACTCAGGGATCTTGAAGCCCTAGCCAGGAAGCAGGAAAAAATAGCCCTTAGCTATGCCCCTGGCCCAGCCTCCCTGTGGTTCAGGTCTCCCACCCTGCCTTCTCACCTGGAGAGAACCACCGCCATGGCATACAGGTCAATGGCCCCATCTGCCAGGCGCTGCAGCAGAAACTGCTCATCTGTCAGGTAGATTGGGGGAAAGGGGGGTTAGTTTGAGGGAGGTGATATTGGGGTGTGGGGAATGGGGCAGAGTTCACTCACTGATAATCCCCTTCTTGTGTTTTATCAGCTTGGCTTCCACCACAGTGGCAAACTGCTCCAAAGCCTGCACTGCCTGAAGAGATGGTGAGGGTCATAGGGCTCAGAGGAGCCTTCCTCATCAACCCTTGCAGCAAGCTTTGCCCTACCTGACTACTCACCAACTCACCACTCCGAGTTAACTCTGGGTGAATGACTCCACTGAGACTCAGGCCACTGCCCATCCCTGCCCGCCTAGGAGGAAGGGAGAGAATGACTGGTTAGTTGCCACCCGCTACCCTGCCCTCCCCTGGCTCTGGGCCCTTGAGCTTACCGCCTCAGCTGTTTGCCTGCCTCTCCCAGCAGGAGGCCAGCATTCCCAAAAGGATTCTTTAGGGCACTGCTAAGCCCAGAGAGTTCTTTGCCTTTGTCCTGGGGGTGGGGAGAGGGTCTTACAGTCAAGATTTACTGTCCTCCTTACCCCTCCTCCCCATTTCTCCTCTCTCTTACCATACAGCCCTGCAGAGCCACAAACAGCCGAAGAATGTCATTTGCCCCCTCAAAGATCCGGAAGATTCGAGTATCTCGGAGCACACGCTCTACCCCAGGCTCCTAGCACAGGGAAAGACACATCATAAGTCCCTGCTCAGATGTGCCTACCTACTCCACCCAGCTGCCCCATGCCAAGGACCATCCTGTACCTTCATGAAGCCCATGCCCCCCATGACTTGGATGCACTCATCTGTCACCTTCCAGGCTGCCTCCTAGGGACAAAGAATTTAATGAGATTGGTTTTGGAGCTGAGCTCCCCAATTGGACTTCCCTCCCATCATGCATGTGTCCTCACCGAGCTAAAGATTTTGCTGATAGCGGCCTCTATCTGGAAGTCTGTGGATCCCTGGTCCATGTTGGCACTCAGCATGTAAGCCATGGACTGAGGTGGCATGGTTGGGACATGCGTAAGAAAATTGGAAAAGGCTGCATTAGATTTCACTTTCTAATTCTGTGGTCAGTTCAAACACATCTACATATTTGGTCCTCTGAGTTGGTACATCACGGGCTTCCAAGCATTGGACCTCTTAAAAGGGGTGGAAATAAAGGATGAGGGTAGGGTTAGAATTAACTTGTAGTACCTCTGGGAAGCACCTCAGCAGAACAGTATCTCCCACTTAAGAAGCTAGACTGACTATGCCTCCCCGCATCCCCTAGGGCATTGGTGTAAAGCTGGAGACCCACTGCCCCAGGTGCTGCTGGGGGTTGTAGTCTGAACCGACTATGAAGAAAACTACATATGGCTCCAAGGAGAGGGGCATAGGAGGCCCTCACCTCAGTCACATACTGCAGCATAGCCATCCGGGCCAGCTTCTCTTGGATCATTCCAAAGTTATGAATTTTGTCTCCAAACTGAGTACGATTAGCAGCATAGTCCACCTGGAAGAGAGTACATGTACGTCTGTAGTCTTACCTAGGAGGGGGGACTGGGCTTGAGCAGGAGGGATGGACTTTGGCCACACTCAAAGAGTTCTGTCCATAGTGGCTGGAGAGCTAAGCTACTAGGTCTGAAGCTGCTAGCAGGTGAGGGATGGGGTCTCACGTAGGGAGTGCTTGCTAGGGAACAAGGACACATGGAAAGGGGGACAACATGATTCATTCAGGCTAGCTGGGGACTCGGGCAGAATACTCACCGCCTTGGCAATGATGGCTTTCATGGTACCTGCCAGGGTTGCAGCCATCCCAAACCTTCCATTGTTGAGGATGTGCATAGCAACTTTGAAGCCACCCCCCACTTCTCCCAGCACATTTTCTGCTGGCACCCGTACTCCGTCAAAGTACACCTCTGCTGTGTTCGAGGCCTTGATGCCCATCTTCTTCTCGGGGGGCCCACTATGACAGGGCAGGGCAGAAAAGTCAAGGTGGAAATAGGTTGCCATGGGGAAAACAGTCCCTCCACTCCTTATGATCATGGAGGAACTCTTTAACTCCTAGACTGTTGAGAGGGAACAAGCACTGACACACACTCAAGGCTACAGAGGCCTATGTCCTATTACTTTATGTTGCTGGAGCCAGTCTTGGATTCCACACATACGTCCCAAAGGGCATATGCAGCACACCTGCTTTGGCCTTTGCACACCCCCAGAGTGACTGGATAATGGAGCCCCGTACTGTGCCCTCTCCTTAGTCCTACCTCTTCCTCCCCAAACCCACTCACTGGGTAACACCGCCAAAGCTCCTTTCCACCACAAAAGCTGTGATCTTCTCCTTCACGACCCCTGTGGCTGCATCTGTAACTGGTGTCTTGGCAAAGACTGTGAAAATGTCTGCCAGGCCCCCATTACTGTGGGAGAATGAGGGGGTGGTTAGCATGGAGTGCTCAGAGCAGAGCCAGAATTAGGCTGAGGGGGAGAAGAAGGGAGAAATGGGAGATTGCCTGATCCAAATCTTGCTTCCATTGAGGGTATAATATTTTCCACAGGAGCTGGGCACAGCTGAGCTTCGGATGGAGGCTGCATCTGATCCACTTGAGGGCTCGGTTAGGCAGAAGGCAGCCAACATCTCCCCTGTTGAAATGAGAGATGAGATGTTGACTCCTTTACCAGGAATCTTGATGGGTATCCAGCTGCTGTTCTCCTCCCCTCCAGCCTCCCGGACAGATCCTCAACACCTCTGGAAATATCCATCAGGTTTTTTTTTTTTTTTTTCCTTCCCATTTCCCCACCAGCACACTGTGGTACATCTCCAGAATCTCCAAGTGATGTGATGAGCTATGTGGTGATCTACATAAAAACTTGCCTAATCTGTGCCAAGCCCAGGACACCCCCAATCCCTGGGTCTCTTGGGGTTGCCTTACCAGATGCCACTTTGGGTAGGTATTTTTCTTTCTGGGCCTTCGTGCCAAAGAGCAAGATGCCTTTGAAACCGATGCTCTGATGAGCCCCCAGGGTAACGCCCACACCGAGGTCATGCATACCCACGATCTCTGCCAAGCGAGCATACTGGAGGGGAAGTAGGCATCTGGGCTGTTAACTGGCTGCATGGCAACCTACCTTCAGCAGGAGAGTATGGGCAACAGGACAGGGCCTGACCTGGGCCATCTCCACAGTGTATAGGAAGGAAGTAGGGTCATAAAAAGGGCAAAGCTGGCTGGCGATGTAGTTTAGGACTAGAGCACTTGCCTAGCTTGTATGAGTTCCTGGGTTCAATCACCAGTACTGGGGACAAACAAAAACACCACCACCACCACAATACTGGTGTCTGTCTTAGGTCTTGGTGAAGACTTCCTATTACCCTATTGACAGGCACTCCCCAGGGACTTGGGAACTAGGGTCAGATCCATGGTCCTAGGAGACTACAGATTGTGGTTTATTTTGTGGGGAGTGTTGCATACACAGCTGGGAAAACCAAAGTCCCACAGCCCCCAGGGCAGTTGCTTGGAAGAGACCTTGGCTCCATGCCTGAGGAAGGAGCAGAATCTGCTAAGCTGGAGTAGTGTTGGATACTGGGAAATAAGGAGGCTTATCTCACCTGAGTATTGCAGAGGCCCACACCACCCAGCTCACTGGGCACCTGCAGACCAAAGGCCCCCAGCTCCTTGAGGCCCTGCAAAGTGTTTTCCTCCACCTGCTCCAGAGTGTCATTCTTGGCAGGATCATTCACCTCCTTAAGAAAGCACAGGGTTTCATGTTAGACTCTTTTTGTACTCCTTGGCATCTCTGTCCACTCCATAAGGGACTAGGCCCCAGTCATTTCTCACCTGGAAGAAACGGGCCACAGGTCCCACCAGCTCTTTGAGAAACTGTGTCTGCTCCTCTGTGAGCACTGTAGTGGTGGGGAGGGGAGGAACAGGCTTGTCAGATGAGGGAGACTGGCTTGAACCCACAGAGCACTGACTACCCTTTCCCTTACCAGAGGGGTATGGAAACACCTGTTCCGTGGTGAGCTGGCCTTTAAACATCCCCACAGCAAAGGACTTAGACTCCTGGGCAGGGAGAGAAAAGGGTTTCAGAAACCTGGTTGGGGTGGGTCTACCCCTGGCTTAGGTCAACCCGGCCTTCTGGCCACATACCGCCTTGGCCGGTTTTTCCCTGGTTGAAGCATCGGAGGAGGGGGAGTCTGACTTGTCTAGAACCGCCTAGGGAAAAGGATGGTTAGCCAAGCCTGGATAGGGGCTTTTGGGGCCAAGGAGAGTACAAGGGAGGAGCTAGCTGGGGGGGGGGGAGTGTTGGGTGGACACAGTGCCTCTTCCCTAGTTTCACCCCAGGGCACCCTGGCTTGCCCTTTCCCCCACTTTCGCTGCCAGAGCTGTCACCAGGTGGGACGAAGAGGGAGACCCCTGCCGGCGGCAGAGTAGTGGAAGCTGAAATGGAACCCCACTTCCAAGACTGCTGTCACTTACCTGAGCGGCCCCACTGGCATAGGGTCGATGGGCAGAGGCAAGCCGGGGCTGCTCCAGGAGCGCATTGGATCGCGGGCTGTGGGAAGTGGAGGTTCAGTCTTGACCCCGTGTCTCCCACCCTCCCGACTTTTCTGTCATACACAGACCTTCGGCCTCTTAACCTCAGCAGTTGCCGCCCCACGCTCGGGGTCATTCGAGCGGTCTGCATCTCCAGCTGCCAGCGTCAGCCGCTCCAGCTGCCACTATGTTAACACTGACCTCCCTCTCGTCCTATCTGCCCAAGGCTGGGTATACGGGCCCTGATTCATCTTCCACAATGCACCGCGCGGTGGGGGCGGGGATTCCGGGCGCCGGCGCATGCTGGGAGTAGTAGTTCCGGGGCGTCCCGGGTTCCTGCATGTTCTGGCCGACCTATAGTGATCTCCAGGCGTCCCTTGTCTCCCCCAAACTCTTCATTCCGCGAGTCTGAATTAGAATGTAGTCCGCTGAGGGGGTGATAGAATGGGCGGAAGAGGGAGGAGCTTAGGCAACTGTAGCCACAGGCACAGCGACGGTAGACTGAAGGGAGAACTTCCCAGGTGGAGTTAGAAGGAAGATGCCAGATGCGTGGAGTTTTGTGAAATCTGTCTCCACCAGTACAAAAGGGAGAGGAATGATGGGGTGGCAGACTGGATCTGGGGTGTATCTCAAGTGAATTCTCCTGAGACCTAGGAGGTATCACTTTCAAAACACTAAAAAGTTGGGGCTGGTGGAGTGGCTCAAGCGCCTGCCTAGCAAGCGTGAGGCCCAGAGTTCTAGACCTATTGCCGCCAAAAAACACAACAAAAAAAACCACCAAAAAATGCACAGTAGGAGCTATCCCCTCTTCGATGCCGCTCCTTTAAGGCCTCTGGGAGCTTCTTGACCATTTCTCTGTCCTGTTTCTTGCAGAGACCCTGTGTCCAGGCTAGACCTCTGAACAGAAGGATTCTTCCAGGCCTAAGAGGATCTGTAGGAATTCTTTATGTTCTCTCACTGCGCCCCCCAGCCCCCCAACCCCCCACCCCCGCCCACCACACTTCTCAAGCCCTGGATCAAGAAGTTCCAATAAATCCTCCAAGTGCTGGTGGCTTACACCTGTAATCCTAGCTATTGGGAGGCTGAGATCAAGGAGGACCAGGTTCTGGTTCAAGGCCAACCAGAGGCAAATAGTTTGTGAGACCCCCCCCATCTCCAAAATAACTAGTCCAAAATGGACTGAATTGTGGCTCAAGCAGTAGAGCACCAGCTTTGCACGCATGAAGCCCTGAGTTAAAACCCCAGTCCCACCAAAAAATAAATAAAAGAAATGTATATCCCCTTTTCTGTACTGGCATCAGGACTGGGAGAAGAGAAAGAGATAGCCTCAGCTTTGTTTTATGAGTTGCTGGAGCCTCCTTGAGGGAGATCCTCTTTCAAATCCCTCAGGAAAATGTGGCTAAATTATGCCTGGCTTTGGGGAGAAAAGGCTACAGTGCGTGTGAACAAGATAGTGGTGGTGGGGCCTGGAACCTGGGGAAGAATGAACAAGCATTGGCTGGTTGGAAGACTGCCGGCTTTACCTATCAATTAGAATTGGGTGGGGAGAAGGCAGCTCAACTCCAATCCTGGAGGATTAGGGCGATTAAAGTGAGAGAAGAGAGAGATGTCCCAGAGACCAAGAGGTGAAAAACGGGTCCTTGTGGAGGGGAGGTCTGTAGGGGTCTGAGACTTGGTGACATTTCTCCCTGAATTGTTCCATATCGTATGGGGTAAAAGGACAAAGGCTGGGGAAGCTGAGGTGACAGTGTGGTAGTCTCTTCCTGGTTCCAATCCTCAGTCACTTGCTTTTCAACAGCTCCCAGGTCAGCCCTCTGGCTCCTGGCCCCCCCACTGTTGCGATGGGCACCCCCTCTCCTCACAGTGCTGCACAGTGACCTCTTCCAGGCCTTGCTGGGTGAGTAACTCCACTTTTCTGAGGGATCATGATGGAAAGGGCTGGCCTGGGCCTATGAGGGCAAATATAGAATCTGGGGGCTGGAGAGCATTTGGTCCAAGCTGGAGCCCCATGCAGGGGTCATCCCAACAGTGCCTAGAGGAGCTCCTCCCTTACCAAACAGAAGTGATGGTGGCAAGGGTGGCTAGAGAGGCCTGAGGTGGGAGAGGATGACTTAGTTCTGCTCCTGTGACAGACATCCTGGACTATTATGAGGCTTCCATCTCAGAGAATCAGGTAAGGAGGGTTGAGTGACTGGCTTCCTGAGGGAGCCAGCAAGCCTGGAGGGGTGAGCAAAGTCTTGCTAGTATTAAACTGAGACTTGGGGCCCTGGTCACAAAATCCTGAGTCAGTGGTCCAGGGGTTGAGGGCACTGAAAATGCACTTTGTTCTGCCAGTCCTGTAGTCCTTTCTTCTCCTTTTTCTTTGCCTGCCCCAATTTCAGGCACTAAAGAGTCCTGGACATAATTACTTTTCAGGTTCCCTCCTGTGAAGCCTGGGGGAGAACTGGGCCCCCAGGGACTCCCTCCTGTCAACCCCTCTCTCACACCCTACCCCCTGCCATGGCCTCCCTCCAGCATTTAAACAGCATAGGTGCTGCTAGCCCAACTGTGGATGTTTTCTCCTCCAAGAAATGAAATCCATCCTCATGGTCTTTGCTGTCATCTTTGGAGGCTGGCCAGGTCTCCATGTTTGCCTTAGGGCCTCTCAGCTTCTGCTTCTAGCTCCTTTCCCATTATCCGGGTTCCTGCCAGCACGGAAGGAGTTAACACTGCCAAGGCACCCCCCCCATTCTAGCTCCTAGCTCCCTCCCTCCCTCCCCCTGCTTCCTCTCTCCTCCTCTCTCCCCTTCCCTCCTCGGCTCCTCGGCTCCCTCGGCCGCTGCCTTCTCCAAACCCCCCCCCCCCCCCCCCCCCCCCCGCCACGGCCCCTAGCCCCTGGCCGTTTGGCAAGACCCCTCCCCACCCCGGGGCTCCCCGAAATCCAGTTCCCCTCCCCCACCTCAGCTCATGCCCCAGCCCCCGAACTCCGGGGCTGCCAGCCCCCGGTGCCCCCGCCCCTCCTGAGAATCGGGGTGTGCTCCCCAAGCCCCCTCCCCTCCTCTGGGAGCCCCTTTTAGGGCCCCCCTTCCCTCCCTCCCACGCTCCCCTACCCTCTCCTCCAACCCCCTCCTTCCCCTCTCACCCCTCCCCCCATCCTGGCCCCCCCTGCAAAAGTGGGGTGCGGAGGGGGGAGGGGTGAGAACCCACCGAGGGGAGGAACGAAACTCCAATGAAGTCAGAGCCCCTTACCCGCTGCCGCGGCCAGGCCCCCCAACATGGACTGTCTCTGTATAGTGACAACCAAGGTAAGCATGATGGGGGGGTTATAGACTGGGAGGTGATAATGAATTTGTTGGGGGGGCAGTTAGGCAGGCCTTAACTGGGGCTAGAGGCCCTGGAGTGAGAACATCAGAAGTAAGGTGTATTTTGGGGGGTGTCACAATTTAGTTTTGGGGTTCACATCTGAGAAAATGCTGGATTTGGTCACAGGTGCCTCCTAGAGTGCTCCTTCTGTACCTATAGAGAAATGGAAAATTTAGGGTGTTCTGTGGTTTAGGGGCCTGGTGGGTTTAGGGGTTCACCAGCAGTGTTTGAGGGTGATTTACTTAAGGAGAAGACTGGCTCACACTGGAGTCCTGCTCCTGTATGTGGGAAGGTGGGCTAGGGGTTCTTTTTCTCTTGGGGGAAAAAGCTGACTTCCAGATGCCTTGTCCAATTTTGGGGTGCTCTTGGCATGAGGGTAAAGGTTATGATTGTGAGCATCTGAGTGGTCTGGGGGGTGTCAGCTGGCAGGGAAGGAGTGAGTCTTCAGGCTATAGAACAAACCTCTTGTAAATATGTTTTGGGGGTATTGATTTGAGGAAACTCTTAATTTAGGGTTCAATTATATGGACTGAGATAGTTGGGAGTTGTCAGAGGGTTGGGGCCTGACACAGAATCACTTGAGAGAATGAGCCAGATGAGGTTAGAATTTTGGGGTACTCACATGGAGGCTAGAAGGTTGCAGCAGCTGAGGTTGTCAGCTCTTGAGGATGAGAAGTTTGGGGAGAAAGGGGGTTTTAGGAGGGGGACCAGGTAAGTGGTGCAAAATTTGGGGGTATCCCAGGCAGGTGCCCAATATCTCCATTTCCTCCCACACTACAGTTACCCTGAGTAAGAAAGAGAGAGCAAAGCAGATGGAGGGGACCAATACCTGAACATTTGGGATCAAGGTGGGGAGGACAACCTGGATGTAAGGGTCTCTAAAGACTTTACAACCTGGATGTGAAGGTTATGGAATAAAGAGGCTACTGGGATGAAAACGTGTAGGAGGGGGTCAGGGCTGGCAGAATGGGGAGCCATACAAGAATGTTCTTGTGGTTGGAACCTGGGAAGGGGCAGGAGATCCTGGATGGGGAGTGCAAGCAAGCTCCTTGTGGGCTGCAGAATACCCAGGTCTTTGCTTCCAGAGTCTGGGACTGGCAAGCTGGAGTCTGGTGTGTGGAGAGAGGCTTGGGCAGGTGGCAGGCAGCTGGGGGCTGGGGGGTGGGACAGGAAGTGGGGGCCGGGGAGGCGGGGTCTGGGTGAGTCACAGGCTGGGGAGGGGGTTATATTTAGTGGGAACTGCAGCTTCTCATGGGAGGGAGCTGAGGACACACATGTTCCCTGCCATAAACTCATACATGTGTGTACACATGCATTGTGCACGTGTGTGCATGACTGGAAGAGAGTGAAGGCTGAGAACCTTTAGGTCCAGTTCCCTCACCCTGTCTCCCTTAGGGCTACTTGTTTTTTCCCCATTCTTTGGGCTTTAGCCTTTTCCCCCTAGATTGCTTCTTCCTCCAGTCCCATGTAGTTTTGGTAGATTTTTGTGACTCAGTTTCTCTGGCTCGGTTTCTTTCAATGTCTGTGTGATCCTGTGTTCCTCTCTCCTGCCCTTAGGCCTGCTATTTGGCCTTGGCTCTCTGGCTATTGTCCCTTGTGTACAGATAGATGTGTATAGAAAGCCCTTTGGAATGTGTGGGTTCTGCTTTCAACACGTGAATGCCAGCAAGGGTGAGGGACTTGCCTGCATTGGCAGCTACTGGTGGGTGGGTGGGTTTATTCATTCCCACATCCAGACTCCTACTTCTTCGATGGAGCCCAGGATGCAGCAGTCCTGAAGGAGAGAATTTTGCATTCGGAGGTTTTACTGAGGCATGGAGACCCAGGCTTGCCACATTCCTTTGCCAGAAAACTTGTCGGCCTCGGGATGGGGGTGGGGGTGGGGGTACTTCAAC